GAAATATGATGAACGGATCATATAAAACCGAAGGCAAATATAATACAAGCCCAAACAAAAAAATATAAAAGCGCTAAAAGTGTCATGATCCAGGTTTCTCCAAACCAGATTTTACGCCCAACAATGTATTTACAAAAAATCAGGACAAATATAGTGTGTAACAGTTCTGTCATCGAAACATTTTAAAAAATAAAAAAACAATTGTCGAGTTCTGTGCTTGTTTGATATATTTGGAATAATTCAGTAAAAATTTTAAACTTATTTTTAATTATTTAAACTCTTAAATTGCAAGCTTTAACATTCAGTAATTATCATAAATAAAACTACTCTGTTGTTCAAAGCTTTCAATTGTTTTTAAACATTTCATTCTATAAAATAATTTCAGGCATTTCGTAAAATTCCTTTCAATTTTTCCAGGCATTTTGTAAAATGCCTAAAAAAATAGTCATTATGTAAAATGCCTGAATCTTGCAGTCATTATAAGAATGCCTAAAGTTTTAAGGCATTTTACAAAATGCCTGTAACATATACATATATATATAGTGTCTAAAAAAGCAACAATCAACATTCAATCTATCTAGGCGTGGATCAGTTTGTAGATAAACTGATGCAGTTACTACATTAAATTATATAAGTGCCTAAGAATGTAACTTTAACACACTAATGAGTGTTATAAAATTGGTTGTTATATTTTATATTATTCACGCAATATTTCGCTAAACAAATTAGCTTCATCAGGCGTGTGCATCTCTCAAGAAGAAATCGGATGCATGACAAAAAAATATTTTTGTAGCTTGAACTACACAAAATTTGAGTAAATATATATTGAAAAGTTATAAAATTTGTCCACGCTGTGCATAAAATAGGGAAAAAAATAAGGCTGAAAATGCACTAAATATTTGTATTCAATATGAACAATCACAGTTTGTCTATCAAGACTTCAAATTGTTCATCAATAATATGTCAAATGGTTCTTATCTTGACATGTGGTAGTCACACTGTAATAGTAATCTTGATCGTTATACAAATTATCACGAATCAATACGCTGGTAATTTTTTTTCAATATTGATGTTTGAGAGGAGGAATAAATTCCTTAAAACTGTAAGAGTCCTGTACTGAAGCCTGAGTTACTGGAAACAAGTGACGATAGAGACTCTTTCTATGTTTTTTCATTAATGCCCTCTGGGGAAACTGTCCTTAACTTCCTTATCCAAAAACTTTCCCGAGCAAGTCTGTCGGCCCTTGACCAAACCTCGTTGTGGTCTATGATAGTGATGGTAAGGTTTTTGAGATCAGCTTAGGCGTGCCCAGGTGAACTCAAATGACGACTTACGGGGAGGTCAGGCTTGCAGGTGTAGTCACTTCGATGACTATTCCTGCGTTTGTTGAATGGCTGTTCTGTCTCGCCAAATAAACTGCATGCCACATCGACACAGAAGAAGATATACAATATTCTGGGCTTTGCAAGTTACATTGCAATATATAGTGTATACGGACCCAGTGGAGTGGCTCCTCCTGCCAAACATCAATATTGAAAAAATTTACCAGCATTGATTCGTGATAATTTGTATAACGATCAAGAACTTCGTGGTCACCTAAAAAATCGGGGCTACAAAAGGAAAGACATTGATAAAGGTTTCTCTTGTGCTAACAACATCAGCCGAGATGAACATTTACAATATAAAGACAAAAAGGTCAACAAGTGAGTGCCGTTTTTGCTGACTTACCATCCCAAATTTGACAAGTTATCACACCTAATCCGCGAAAATTGGAAAGAAATCGAAAAACATCAAAAACTATCCAAAATCTTTCCCGAGCCACCTGTTCCGGCTCTCCGTAGGCCCAAAAGACTTAAAGACTTGCTGGCGAGAGCTGATTTATCCTCTAAAACAGGCTCTTCGTCTGTGGGCTCTTGCAAGGGATGCGGAAACAAACGATGTCTGACTTGCAAACAAATACCCAAGTCAGGAGCCTCTAGCCTTTGTTAGTCTTGTATTATTTTTAATTTTAGTTTCTTGTGTACAATTTGGAGTTTAGTATGGCGTTCATTATCACTGAACTAGTATATATATTTGTTTAGGGGCCAGCTGAAGGACGCCTCCGGGTGCGGGAATTTCTCGCTGCATTGAAGACCTGTTGGTGGCCTTCTGCTGTTGTCTGTTCTGTGGTCGGGTTGTTGTCTCTTTGACACATTCCCCATTTCCATTCTCAATTTTACTGAATACCCAGACTTTTAACAGTCACTCCACTGGTACGGAATACACCATATTTTGCAATGTTAATTGCAAGACTACAAAATGCTGTGTATCTTCTACAGTGTAAATACAGCAATCAGTATGTTGGCGAGTCAGAACAGCCATTTCACAAACGAATGAACGGCCATCGTAGCGACTATGAATGCAAGCCAACCTTCCTCTCAGTCGACATTTGAGATCCCCTGGCCACACTTAGGCAGATTTCAATCTACTGACGATTACAATCATAGACCACAACACTGCTTGGTCTAGGGAGAATAGACTCACTCGGGAAAGATTTTGGATAAGAAATTAAAAACTTTGGCACCAAATTGGATAAATTTGAAATTTTAGAATTGTACCAGTTCATATCGCACATTACTATTTTAATTTGAAGCATATCTATGCAGTTTCTATTGTAAATAGCTATATAACCTACGTCATTTTACAAGCGTTTTTGTGTTCGGTTTTAATTGTATAAATTTCAAGATTGTTATAGTTAAATCAGAATAGACTGATATGATTCATTTTACATCATAATCATACTGATGAAGGATATCTGTTATCCGAAAAAATTATAGATTATTACATTTGATGTTTTCATTTTTTAATATTGGTGTTGTTTTGTACATTTTTTAGGCGTTTATATACATTTTGTTAAAATATACTTTTTCACTTTTTTGGTCTTTTGGAAAATATTGTTTGTGCTGTATTTATACCCCTCTACCAAGAAATTTGTTTTGCATGCACACGCATAAAAATTGCGTTTTTTATCCAACGCAATCATAGGTTTGAACGTTGTTTTCAATTTAGACTTGCCTATATTTTTTCGTTTGGGCTTGTATTATATTTGCCCTCGGGTTTATATGATCCGTTCATCCTATTTCGACTCTTCAAAATTCACGAGTCTATCCTTAATTGAGGTAAATTATATGGCCTTCCAAATACCGTTTCGATTCCTAACATCATTGAAGAGACATTAATTGTCGAAATCCAGATATGGTGTACTAAATTTTGCACCTTTTGTTTGCGATATACCATCTTTTCCGCAAGTTTATTGTTTTCTGTTTGGTATTAAATTCATAATTAAGACCCATTTTGTTACATCTGGGATCCGTTTATTTGGCAATCGTCAATGGCAGTCAGCAGGGTTTAAGAACATCTGTTGGTCGACCTGCTAGTAAAATGCGTTTTGTTAAAATATTCTTTTTTACTTTTTTGGTCATTTGGAAAATGTTGTTTGTGCTGTATTTAGACCCCTCTAACAAGAAATTTGTTTTGGACACATATGAATATTGCGATCTTTTTATCCAACGCAATCATAGGTTTGAACGTTGTTTTCAATTTAGACTTGTTTATATATATATAAATATATAAACTGAAGTTAGTATATTCAGTATACATAGATATAAGAAGATGTGGTATAAGTGCCAATGAGACGACTCTCCATCCAAGTCAAAATTTATAAAAGTAAACCATTATAGGTCAAAGTACGGTCTTCAACACGGAGCCTTGGCTCACACCGAACAGTAAGCTATAAAGGGCCCCAAAAATTTCAAGTGTAAAACCATTCAAACGGGAAAACCAACGGTCTAATCTATATAAAAAACGAGAAACACTTATGAACCTCATCATCAAACGACAACTACCGTGAACATCAGATTCCTGACTTAGGACTGATGCAAACACTGAATTGCTGCGGGTTTAAACGTTTTAATGGTACCAAACCTTCACCCTTATCTGAAACAATATTGTAACATCACAACATAGAAAAACACTATAAAATATCAATTGAAATGGCTTAACTCAATCAAAAGACATATTAACACCAGTGAACATACACTGAACTAATAAATTTGATCTATGATACAATGCAAATACAAAATAAATAAACTAAGGGAAGAATAATTAAAGTAACATGTTATACCGCTGTAAAATGTTAAACAATTTAAGAAAAACAATACACTTGAACAAAAATATCAGCCATTTGTAATTACTTTAAACACAGGTAAATAAAAATAATTTTGTTGTTAGATAAACGTGTACAGTTCAAATAGAGAAAGGAAATATTTTTACAAAATAAATAATTTTGATGTTCATAGTACGAAGAAGTGAAAATTTATAGTAATACCAAACACTTATCAAAGCTGGTATATAGACCAGATATAACCCTGAATAACATTAAATAACAACAAAGCATTACAATTAGTATCAACAGGTCATAAACAAGAAAGTACGATTTGAGAGTACTCGCAGTTACTGACAGCTAGTTAAAAGCCAAAAACAATTAATAATAAAAAATCATGCATTAGAGACTAAAATCAACTAAAACACATCCCAGGGATTTAGTATTTTAAAGTCATGGACAGTCAAAGAAGACATGATTTGTGCAGTGCCAAAAATAAATGTATTGACAGGCAGTAGGCTAGTTAGGAGTTAACCTCTTTATAGATCAAAATGAACGTGGATGTGTCTTTATACATCCCGTTTGAAAAGAATACAAATTTAGTTATGTTTTAACATACATATATTTAACAAAAACTCGTCTTTAAACTGTACCAGTGTCATGCTCAATGTCCTCACATATAATTGTTCAAGATATTTTATAACGATATAGAGAAGATTACATGACAGCTTCTGAGATTCGAGAAATATATAATGAATCGTTGGTGTATTTAATTCGTGTTTCCTTTTAGTATTGAAAGTAGGACAATATGCATTTACACGTTTGTTTCAAATTGTATGGGTTTTTTTAAGGTTTCAACATGAAGCTAGTAATCCTAGTCCTGTGTCTATGTTATGCGTCTTTTGCCAATGGTAGCCGTAAATACAAAGGCCCAACATACATTGACCTTGGTGTTACCAAATTTCTACAACCTAAGTACAAGAAAACATGGAATGAACATGACACACCGATACCATACTTCACTGGTCTTCCACAACACTTACGTGGACAAGCATTCGCACTCGCAGTAGAAAGCACTCTTGTTAGGACTGGAACCGGAGGTGGAAATGGAGGTGGAAACGGAGATGGAATCAGAGGAAGAAACGGAGGTGGAACCGGAGGTAGAAAAGGAGGTGGAAACGGAGGGACCGGAGGTGGAACAGGAGGTGGAAACGGTAGACGTGTTTCTGGTAGCGGGTATGGTTCTGGCAGCAGTGGTTATTACACGACGTCCTATAACGGACCACGTGGACAGGGTACAAAATATGGCGGACAAGCAACAAACTATGGTAGACATGATACAGGATATGGTAGCAGTTATGGTGGACAAGATGCAAGCTATGGCGGACAAGCAACAAACTATGGAAGACGAGTCTCAGGATATGGTGGCAATTATGGTGGACAAGATACAAGAAATGGTGGCCAATATGTCAGACAGGCAACAAAATATGGTGGACAGGTTTCAGGATATGGTGGCAGTTATGGTGGACAAGATACAAGTTATGGCGGGCAATATCGCGGACAAGCAACAAACTATGGTAGACAGGATACAGGATATGGAAGCAGTTATGGTGGACAAACTTCAAGCTACGGCGGTCAATATAGCGGCCAATATGGTGGACAAGCAACAAACTATGATAGACAGGATACAGGATATGGTAGCAATTATGGTAGACAAGATACAAGCTATGGTAATTCATATGTCAGACAGAGTGCAAACTATGGTGAAACATATGGGCAAAATTCTAATGCACAGTCTGGATACGGATATGGTATATATATATAGATAAGTCTAAATTGAAAACAATATATATCTATATATCTATATATAATAGTGATTTTTAAGTTCATCTAATATTTATGCTTCAAATTGAGGCAGCACTTTTACATTAACAATAAAGTTGTAAGAGAGCAAATACTCAAGAAACATACAGTTAAATCACGAAAATAAAGCATCATAAAGTAAACATACACAAGCTCTTTTCACAAAAAATCTTACGATTAAAACTGATCGTAAGTTATACTGAAATGTTCTTTACTTTCGAGTATCTTTTTTAACACAGTCGTTGATTGATTACACATCAACCCATCATCATATCAAATTGTAAATCAATTAAACTGTGTGCGACATCATTTCATTTAGTATCATGCATTGACAGTTTCTTTCTTTTGGTGTATTGCACGAAACTTGAAATATCAGCATGCATGATAGTGACTTTCCTGGTTTAATTGCACAAAACTACTCATTTGCATGAATATTTTATGATTCAATCCAGCAATTACTTTGGAAATAAGCAAAATGAAATGCGGTTTCAAAGCGTTTATTGATATCAAACTTAACAAAGGTCTATTAACAAAACTGCAAATGTTTTTAGTAGACAAGGAATTTTATCTAAATGTATCTAAATTTTTTTTTCTCAATGAAAAGAGGAACAAAGAGGAACAGTTGTACCAACAATATGTGAAAATGTATTAAATTTTGTATGAATTTCCTCTTTTCTAGGCAAAACTCAGCGATCAGGTTCTAAATATTAAAGCGAGGTAAGATATTTTTACTGGTAGACAAATTGTACTTTACAAAACGGTTTGCAGATAGGGAGCAATTATAAATCTGAAATTAAATGAGAGACAATACTAACAAAAACTAAAATATAGATCATGAACATCACAAAATTCAAAAGCATATTATTATATTGTATATAAATCAGGCTGTTAGTTATCTGGTTTGAGTTGTTTTACATTTGTCATTTCGGGGCCTTTTATAGCTGACTGTATAGCGGTATGGGTGTTACTCATTGTTGAATGCCGTACGGTGATCTATAGTTGTTAATTTCTGTGTCATTTTGGTCTCTTGTGGAGAGTTGTCTCATTGGCAATCATACCACATCTTCTTATTTTGATATTATGGCCAACAAAACATTAAACAGAAATTTCCTTTGAACAACGCGAAGCCCAATGTTGTTCAACCTTTAGTTTTCTGTGTAATGTTTTATGGGCTGTGTTTGTCTTTTTTTATTCTGATCTTCCGTGTATAGTTTCTTCTCCTTTACGTAGCCTTTTTCCAGATTCTATAACTCATTTCTTAGTCCTACCATTAGACAACAATCAGAACTAATTTTGTTGATTATAATTTCAAGATTGAGTGTATTCCGTGTGAAACTAGTAGCAAAAATATTTATAAAGAAACTGCGGACTTTTGGATCCCATGTGCTGCTTTTACTCACGTTAACTCCGGTTGTATCCCTTGTTTTCTTATAATGCATTTTAGAATATACTGTTACCAAACTTCATCAATTTCCAGCTTAAAAGATCATTTTACTCCCTAGCATAATATGGAATGGGCTTTGCCGAGAGTACATAAATAGGTGTATATTATACTGGAGTAAAATATCCCGGTTAATCCTGCAATTTGATTAGTTACATTAATAGGGAATATGAACCCATATCCCCTGTGAAGGAAAACGAAGATAAAAATGGCAGTTAAAAGAGAGGCAATTGATACCAAAGGGACATTCAAACTCAAAAGTCGAAAATAAACTGACAACGCCATGGCTAAAAACGAAAAAGACAAACAAACAAACAACGGTTCACAAAACAACATAGAAAATAAAAGACTGAGCAACACGAACCCCACCAAAAACTGGGGGTTATCTCAGGTGCTCCTGAAAGGTAAGCAGATCCTGCTTCACATGTGGCACCCATCGTGTTGCTCATGTAATTACAAACCCATTGATATGTGTAATGTCTAAATGGAATTTTATGCGACTGTCATAAGGGACTATCGGGAAGGGGACGAGATTGTTGTTACAACAACTGGAACATATCCGTCGTCATCTATGAAACAGATATTCCATAACGGCCAACCAACTCGTGATGGCGTATTTCGTGTTGAAATCAGGACACTCCAGTATAATATAATTGTCATTCGGGCTTCAAATGGGATATGGGCTTATATACCCTGTTAATGTTCTATGTCCCCTTCGCCTGAGGATCAGGAGATATAAAACATTGACAGGGAATATGAGCCCATATCCCCTATGACGATCCTTGAGAATATATGTCTACTGGTTGCTGGAAGACCTTTGCAAACGATTCCTTTCTGATTAATAAATTGGAAGCTTTAAATTGTAGCGAGAGCTAATTAAGGCCTCTATTAATCCTATATAGCTATCTCTCTGTCATCAATTAACTTTTTCTATCAGTAACTCTTTACCATTATTCCTGTACAAAACTAGAAAATGCAACATCGTAGGCAAAGTTTGCGGTAGACAAATCCATCTTTCTATTTAGGTATTATTTGTTTTTTAGTACTCTTAAATTTGGACACCTAAACCTTCGGTCTGAATTGAACCAGACAAAGATTATTCCATAAACAAGTGCTATGCACTTAATTCAGTAATGAACATAGTTGATGTACGTGTACAACATCTTAAAGAACATTTTACTCCTAACAACAACCATAATAACCCTTTATCTCGTATTAAACATAGGCTAAAAGAACTCGCCAAGGAATTCGCTTTTGGTCCCGGCTGATAAGGCTGCTAATAATATCATTATTGTTTGACGTAAATTTTACATTGAGGTTCTGCAAAAGGAAATCACGAATTCACTAACATTCCAACTGACTCCATTTTCGGAAAATAACATCTGTAACAAACATAAACTTTTAGCTACTTCTTTACAAGCAAAGAACCAAATACAATGAAAGTTCCAACTATCTACTAGCTTCCGAAACTGCACAAAACACCTTACAAATATAGATTTATTTCGTCTTCAAGCAATTGTTCCACTACTAAACTGTCTATTCTACTTACTAGTACACTTGGTACAATCAAAAACATGATTATAAATTGTTCAAAAAAGGCCTTTGAAAATAGTGGAATTAATTACTTTTGGAGTGTCAAAAATTCGTTGGAAGTACTTGATAAATTGCATGCTTATATTGGTGATTTTGAATCTGTTCAAAGTTTTGATTTTTCTAGCCTATATACCACTTTGCCTCATATTCTTACAAAGAAAAAATTCACACACCTAATTAAATTGGCATTTAAAAAGTCGGAATGCGAATATATATGTCCAAACTCTTTCATGTCATTTTTTAGCAACAAATAAAAGAACTATGTCAATTGGACCTGCTTTGATACTATAATTGCCCTTGAATTATACAAGATAACATTTTTGTTCGCTTAGCAGATTCCGTATATCGTCAAAAAAGAGGGACGAAAGATACCAGAGGGACAGTCAAACTCATAGATCGAAAACAAACCGACAACGCAATGTCCAAAAATAAAAAGATAAACAGACAAACAATAGTACAGATGACACAACATAGAAAACCAAAGACAAAGCAACACGAACCCCACCAAAAACTGGGGGTGATCTCAGGTGCTCCGGAAGGGTAAGCAGATCCTGCTCCACATGTGGCACCCGTCGTGTTACTTATGTTATTACAAATCCGGTAAATAGTCTAATAGTCAAGTTATCGGAATCCCAATGGTGACTAACTGTACACACTTTTTGCGGACTTGTTTCTGTTTTGTTATGAGTTACAATTTATGACTAAAATCAGCAAAGACCCATCGAAACAACATCTGATACAAAAATTTAATAACACTTTTAGATATTTGGATGATATATTGGCACTCAATAATGACGACTTCAGTATGTACACTAAAGAGATTTATCCTGCTGAACTGACTTTAAATAAAGTTAATACTAACAATGAACACTGCCCTTTCCTGGATCTTGATATCTATATCTTTAACGGGAAGCTTTATACCAAAATATATGATAAAAGAGATGATTTTTCATTTCCTATTGTTAATTATCCATTTTTGGATGGTGACGTTCCCTTGTCACCATCTTGAGGGGTTTATATATCTCAACGTCTTCGATTCGCTCGTGTAAGTATCAATGTATTTGATTTTAACGAAAGAAATCTATGTATTACTGAAAAATAATTACACCAGGGTTTTCGATATCTCAAACTGGTCAAAACATTCACTAAATTTTATCATCGGTACAAGGACATCATTCGTAAATATAAATCAACATGCAGACATCTTATACGTTCAGGTATTTCACATCCAATTCTTTTCAAAGCACAAATATGTCGACATTCACATCAAAAGCTAACCAAACCTTTAAACAGACTTATTTAGAATGGATATAGTTACGTCATTAAAGATGGCATATTTTGGTTTTAATATGATTCACGCATAGGGTCTCTGCATTGGAAATAAACACATTTATTCTAAAACCAGTTGTTGGCATGATACGGGTTATGTTCTTCTCATATATTTTATGATGGTATGATACTAAACCCCTAACTGGAGGGATTGTGCTTGATTTTAATATGATGAAGACATAATCTTTCAATCAGTGTAATTGAGGTCTGGAGCTGGCATGTCAGTAACTGCTAGTAGTCCCTTGTTAATTTATGTGTCATTGTCGTTTTGCTTAGTTTCTTTTGTTACCTATTCTGACATCGGACTAGGACTACTTTTAAACTGAGTTTTACTGTGCGAATTGCTGCGTGTTTGTTTTTTCTACATTGGTTAGAGGTATAGGGGGAGGGTTGAAATCTCACAAAACATTGATTAACACCGCCAAATTTTTGCGCCTGTCAATAGTCAGGAGCCTCTGGCCTTTGTTAGTCTTGTATGATTTTTAATTTTAGTACATTTATATGATTTGGAGTTAAGTATGACGTCCATTATCACTGAACTTGTACACATTTTTGATTAGGAGCCAGCTGAAGCACGCCTCCGGGTGCGGGATTTTCTCGCTGTGTTGAAGACCAAATGATGGCCTTCGGCTGTATTCTGCTCTTTGGTCGGGTTGTTGTTTCTTTGACACATTCCCCATTTCCATTCTCAATTTTATGAACTTGTGAACTGAAATAGGTATGATAAGTTAATACTGGTATCAATTGATACTTACCATTTATGTTGAACTGTCAGTCCCAGAAACCATCAAGTAACTTGTGTTTTGCTACTTGCATGATTTTTTTAAAAAACATACAATTATATAAGAATTAATTAAGTTTATAATTGAACAAAAATAAGGTATCAACTATATCATATAAAGGTCACCTAAGACGATTTTTGCTGTTCCGTTTAAGCTATATTAGCTTTTCAATGGTCATAGATCTTATAATATTATACTTCTCCGAGTTTTGATTTCGGACATACTTGACGTAAATGAAACAGCAACGCGTGTCGAGACGTACTTTTATCGGTATCATAGTTTAAATTTAGACTGTCAGTCTCTGTATGTATCCTCTATCTTATGGCTAGTGCTTTGGTACTGACAGATTTAAATCATATATATATAAATATTTTTAATTTAAGTTCAGACATAATCTTCTGCATAAATTTTCCACTTATTCCTTTTTAAGACCTAATTATACGGAATGATTTTTCAGGTATTGTAGGTATTATGCAAGTTTAAATTTTATTCGTTAAAAAAATTGATATTGCCAATTGAGAAGATCAACTAAAAGATACAAAGATGTAAGGTAACGGAAAAAGTGTCGATCCCTTCGCTGCCTGTGTACATGAGCTATTAGTTCCGGTAATGTCTCTAACTATTAGAAATTAACCTTAAGAAATAAATCATGTGTAATCGAGCTTGAAAACAGTCCTGAAAATATATGTACTATCACAAAAGTTTGCTCTGTACATAGTTTGATGTAAAGTAGACGCTCGAAAGAAAAACACGTGTATATAATAAACAAATATTGGACACTGATCAAATGTTAAGAAAAAACTCTTTCATTGCTGATTACAAAGTCCGTAAGGTTTTGAATAATATATGAGAATATGTATTCGGTAATCAAATTAAATTGTGTGAAGGAAATTCTATTGTTGTATTATGTGAGTGTTATGACTGAATTACGTTTTTTTATTTCAGAAATCGATGAAAATCAACGACCTAACTGATAAAGGATCTTGTACTTATATGTATTATAGCATATACTACTTCATTATATATACCATTTTAGACGCCCGAAGATTTTTAAATAAAAATATTTCTAGGAACTTTATTGTTTTATTTAACCTCATTTATAATTTGTTTTAGCCATATAAGCGGGAGGTATCTCTAGCCATAAAACTAGGTTCAACCCACCATTTTTTTCTTAAAATGTCCTGTACCAAGTCAGGAATATGGCAGTTGTTATCAGACAGTCCGTTTCTATGTATGTTGGCGTTTGCTTTTGTTGTAGTTCAGTGTTTTTGTTCCGTTGTTTTCCTGTTATAGTTGATGTGTTTCTCTCGGTTTTAGTTTGTTACCCGTATTTGTTTTTGCTTAATCGAATTATGACTATTGAACAACGGTATTCTACTGTTGCCTTGTTTTAACTTCACACATGGGATTAGCGTTTGTTTAGAATTAAAGAATCATATGTAGACCTCCGAATGTATGCTGAAAATTAGTAGAAAATCTGTCGTGCTAAGAACTCTATTGAATTGACAAAATATATAAAACTTTAGTTCTTTGCATAAGTATATAACTTTTCCGAAATATTGTATCAGTATGAAACATGTATTAGCCGTATTTTAAAAACCAAACTAATACGAAATTTATGTTCGACCTGCGCGATGAGAAGTCTAAAAATTGAAAATCAACGATTAAAGTAAGAGTAAAATATTCAGCTACTCAATTGTTTTAAGTATTTTACTACAACCAATTGAAACAGGATTTTTTCTATATTTGGAAGCGCTTTATTAGATGTTATTCAATTTACACATTAATACTGTAAAATGATAAAACATGAGACCATCCGGTCTATAGATATGTAGTAACATACTAAATTGTAACTAATCACAAATGCCAGACTTGAAACTGCATTTCAGACGTGCGTTTCGTCTTCAAAAGAATCACCAGTGACATTCAAATCAAAAAAGTTGGAAAAGCTAATTTAAGTACGAAGCTGAAGAGCATATAGGACCCAAAATTCACGGTTTTGGCAAATACAGCTAAAGCAATCTATTCCTGGTGGTAGAAAATCCTTAACATATCGAACAATTCAAAGTTTTGTAAACAGTTATTTTTTAGGATTATGGCCATATCAATGATAACTCATGTCAAGGTATCGTCTCGTTATGATTACATGTTTGACTTTCTGAATTTAATGCTGGCGGCTCTATCTTAAGCACCGAAGTTTCTGATTCTACTTCATTGAGAGGTAGGCTTTCAGTCTCTTGATTCGTGTTTTCAATAGTTATTTCAAGCCCTGAATCTTCACGATTTAATGCTTCTATATCGGAACTGGAACTTGTATTAATGTTAGACGTTAAATTCACCCTCGGTGCTGAACCATCTTCAAATGAAAACTGACTATCTGATTCGGGAATTTCGAAATGCACCGTATGTAGTGCTGGTGATGATTCGTTCTTTGTTAATGCACGTATCTCCGTTTCACCTCCCATTTCAGTAAACATGGATTCATCCATTATTCCATCTGTCACAGAGGACGCAGATGACATCTCTTTTCTTTTTCCAAACAAACGATCACAACAATAATCCTCTTTGTCGTAACATTTTGCGAAGCAGTTACAGCAATACCATTCTGTCCAATGACGGAAGTCGCTCTCATTATGTTTCTTACAAAATAATGCACAAAACAGGATAGCAATAACCACACAGACAACTACGATCAAAACAATGGCGATGGGACCTAGAAAAGTATGTTAATACAAATGAAAACAACATATGATTTTAAATGAAGGTGTATAGATTTGCAAACTCTACATATGTCCATGTGTGGCCGTAACTTCCAGCCATTGTAGACGAAACGCGCGCTCGTCTTGCGTACAAAATTATAAGCCTGATATCTTTGATGTGTATATCCTATATAATTATATACAATGAATCAATCCTGCAATTGTAATTTAAATATCAAATCAAATGCCTATCAATTAAAAATTTTAAAACAATATAACAATCTACAAGTGTTCAATCAGCGTTTATACCTTCGACAAATATCGTTTATGTTTAAGACTTTAGCACAAAATTCATTGAATACACAATGTTTACGCAACGCAATAACATAACAACATAAATAATTGGGTTTGTGTATTCATTGTGTTCTCTTGTAGTTGTTAGAAATGACTTTCCATGCAAACACTTACAGGAAAGAGCATTTTCAAGGTCATTCTTTCGTATAGAGATTCCAAATTACTACTTTAAAAAGTCAATCATATGACAGTAACCACATGTAAAAGTGTCCGATTTCAATTTTTTTGTCGTTCTAATTTAATTCAGTTCATAAAAATACGGTAGGATACTCCGGCAATGTTTCTAAACGACTTTCATTCCTATCTTAAACCGTAGCTAGACCTAATTTGATTAAGGTATGTATACCTTTATATTAATGTACACTTTTTTGTAAAATACGTACTCATTTTATAACGAGCTCTGCATTCTTTCCTGTAGTATTTTCTTGGTACAGTTTTAATTTTGGGGCATCTGTGACTTTGTTTATTACTGAAAAATATTGGAAAAATGGTTAAGTCAATTGAGACAAACTGAAAGGTTGAAATAACAATGAACATTTGTATATGTTAAAAGCATGATCAACTGATCTAGAATTACACATATATAACTGACTACTTATTTTCACTTTAAACAGGAAATTAAGATTGCAATTCCTTTTTAGCAAAGTTAACCTGTATTTTAAGATTGTTTTTGATACGTGTTTAGTTTACTTTTGGTGATATAGAATTTCATCTTTTGCTTCTCAAACATTTGGCTATGATAAAGGTAACTGTTGAAAACTGCGTCAAACCTTTTCCCCTGCGTTTACATTGTATATTGCATGCATCACACTCTTTTATTACATGACATATTTTGTTAATTTTCTTTTTTCCAACATGAGCTCATTTTTGTTATCGTACATAATGTAATAAATGTTAGATGGATAAAAAAAAATCAAACAGTAATAGTCGTATTGGTTTACTGCAAGAAATAGAAATATTTCGTATTATTCTGTTGTATGTATGTATGTTTTGTGTTATTGTAAAGTATTCATATGTGATGTTATATTTGTGTGTATATATATATGTGTGTGTGTTCTTCTGTTGCACATTTAATGCGACTGTGATTTTTCAAAGGAAGTTTCAAGTTTCTAGATAGATGTAAGAAAACACGAGAAGGAAAGGGTAAAAGAATGTATACACGCTAATGCATCACATTATGGCAAAGAAATAGGTTACTGAAGTAAAGTACTTGGATAGGATGGTAAATACTCTGCTATTGGATCTTGAAGGCAATTAAATAAAATTAACGTAAAAAAATGTGACAAATATTCATTTTCTAAAAGATAAACAATATCTATATTACTTCTATTTTTATATTACTTGCTGATTACAAGGGAGCTGTTGAACCAAGGGTTCCAAGTCGTTAAGTTGAAATCATCCCTTTGAACATTTTACGGACACTATCATGAATTAGTTGACCGTTATGAAATATCTGTTTCACTGATATTCTCTTCTATGACGACGGATATGTTTCAATCGTCGTACCCACAATCCCGTCATTGACCTACAAAATTAGACTTATCACCGGATCTGTACCAACATGCGCAAAACGACGGGTGCCACATTACCCTTACGCAGCACCTGAAATAACCCCTTTTGTTTTGTTTTGGTTTTTTTAGGGCCGGCAGGGGGGGGGGGGGGATTGCGCATCCTGTAGTTTTCTATGTTGTGTTTTGTGTGCTGTTGTTTGTCTTTTGGTCGTTTCTATTTTTTGCAAAGGTATATTTTGTCAGTTTGTGTTCGACTTATGAATTTGGATGTCCCTTCAGTATTTTTCGTCTCAGAACATCAGTATCATTTTACAATTTCGTATAAATGTAATAGGTTTAAGCGTATTGTTGCTATATTAGAACATAGCTAAAATAGATTTTTATGGGTTTTTAATTTAATTTTTTTTAATTGGCCATAACATCATTTTTTACAAGAGGTATCAATTTGCTTCATGCAAAATAAAACTTGTACTAATTTATATGCATATAGTACTTGCATGTCCATACATAGACTAAAACCTGAACAGCATCTATATATGGGTAATAAAATATTAATGTGAATAAAACAAATCCTGTGCAGTTTGAAACATTGACTGAGCTTAACCATTTGTGCAGATTTGAAGAGCAGATGACTATAGAATGAAGGTGTTAAAACTATGGAATTTTTTCAATGTGTCCAAAAAAATGAATTTACAGAGAACTGTTCGGCAAAAATATACATTTTTGACTTCGCGAGACGCATCATAAAGGGCTTTTCGTGGTATGCGAAATTTCGGGGAAATGAAAAAAAGGAATAACTTCCATGTTATGTACATATTTCGGACGCATGAAAAATTAAAGAGTGTTTATCTCATGTTTCAATCGAGTTTTACTCAAGAAGCAATGATATATGAACATCCAAAATGATAAACCAGAGTCATACATATCCGTATGTAATCGTAAAGTTTTCGAAGGGATTGCTTTAACTTCACCACTTGGAACCCTTGTTTTAGTAGCATCTTTGTACGCAGCAAGCCTGAGTCCTCTACCAAGTAAATCAGGATATAAAGTCCAAGCTCTTTAGTATCAACTATGAGATATAAACTACATATGCAAGCGCTGCTGGAATGATGCTACATAGAAATAGAAAGTTATCAATTGGTAAGATGATATCATCTATTTTGACAAAAAAAGTTTTGTAAAATTTGTACTGTATTGCTGTCACGTAGTGTTGTAATTTTACATTAGAGGTATTTTCAACGTTACCATATAAGCGGGAGGTTTGGCTAGCCATAAAACCAGGTTCGACCAACTATTTCACTAAGTCAGGGATATGGCAGTTGTTATCTATATTCCGTTTCTATGAAGATTGGTGTTTGCTTTTGTTGTAGTTCAGTGTTTCTGTTTTTTCCTCTTATAGTTGATGTGTTTCCCTCTGTTATTGGGATTTGTTTTTGCTTAATCGAAATATGACTATTGAACAGCGGTATACTACTGTTGCCTTTATTTGTTCTCAACAGACCCTCATTGTCAATTTCCTTAAAAGAGGTTTTTACAAATAAATAACTCCAAAGTAAATACGTTCAAAATAGTCACCAAACCTTTTATCATTTAGTGAGATAAAATCATTTAGATAGCGAACCGTGAAGTTAAAGTTTATACTTTTTATCACGTCTTCGATTTTGGTATAAGTTTTGGCCTTTCATATATTTAATCAACGAGCTTTACTGAAAAAGACATAAATTTTCGTAATGTGTCCCTGGTGCAATAACATTAGTATTGTTTATGTTATTTGAACTGTGAATCAATTGATTGGATGATTGTTGGTGTTATTGTGTTGGTCAGTTGTTATTGGTGGAGGAAGCCGGAGAGCTCGGAGAGAACTACTGACCATAGTCAGATTGGAGTTGAACGCATCACGCCATGTGCGGGGTTAAATATTTAAACCTCAGTTTTGACGTGCTAGTGATACAGTAGATGAACTATTAATTCCACTCGCCGACCGAGGCATCCAACTGTGGATCGTGAAAATTGGTGAAAAAGAATCAATAATTTCCTGATTATTTTTTTTATAGTGATTAAGGTTAAAACACAGTGTTGACTGCTGTACCCCTATTTTTGACATTTATATTCCTATTATGTCTGTTTGTTTCGTTCACACATTGTTGTCAATTTAATGGAATTTTATGCGACTGTCATAAAAGTGCGAGGTTTAGCTAGCTATAGAACCAGGTTTAGTCCACCATTTTCTACATAAGGAAATGCCTGTATCACGTCAGGAATATGACAGTTGTTTTCCATTCGTTTGATGTGTTTGAGCTTTTGATTTTGCCATTTGATAAGAGACTTTCCGTTTTGAATTTTCCTTGGAGTTCGGTATTTTTGTTATTTTACTATTTTCTACTAATTCCACATAAGTATTATATCTTAAAATAATTTTCAAGGTTATCTTTCGATTACAAAGTGATCAATACTTTTTTTGCTCTATTAAAACTTACCTTGAACCTCACAATGCATACAAATGTAAACATCCCGTTTTCAAATGTTAGAATAATCTTTTCGTAAATTCATGTTGTCATTTTGTCATGCATAATGTTTAATCGGGCCGTGGGTTACAACAATCCATAACAAAAACTATTAATATTTTCAATAATTTACATCATTTTATTAAATTGACTGAACGAATGTGACAGTGCCCTTCAAATTTAAAAAAATCAAATTTACAGGTATTCTAACTGCATAAATATAATGGGTTATCTTATTCAGATATGTTTAATACATAATATCAACAATTTTATTAAGTGGGTGTAAATTGTAATAGCAACAAAAGTATTCAGTCATTAAGTACTAATAGAATTAAATATTGACGTTACAGATATATTTTTTTTCAAATGAGTCTGCTTTCTGGTGTGTATGCATAAATATTTGTAAAATATTTTAGTTTAACCGATTGTTAAGTCAAAACAAATGGACTTGGATTGGGAAACAAGCTATGCCTAATAATGAACGAGTACGTTTTAATCAATATATAAATAAAGGCAACAGTAGTATACCGGTGTTCAAAAGTCATATATATGAGATTCAGTATAATAGATAAATATTTTTTATTACCAATTAAGGGCCCACAAGAGGCATATAGAGAATACATGTATAAGGAAAAAGAACATTGATAAGCATAGATACATATAATTTAAATACACAATTACAATACAATTAGACTGTAAAAAAGCCCTTGGTTTAAAGTATATAATATATTCATATGAGAAATAAATACATCTAACTCATATTGACTTGAATAAATTTTCCAACAGCATTAAGTACCTGATTGTCTTCACAGCTCAATTGATATATAAATTTTTCCTGATTGTCCAGTAAAGTAAAGTTTGGCAGTTTATGGCAAATAAAGTCAAAGAAAGCATCTCTATCAGGGTTAAATTTTTCACATAAAGTTAAAAAATGGATTTCATCTTCAATACAGCCAGAGGAGCATTTATATGTATAATATGTACGAGTGGATAAACGGATAAATGTATCTATATGTTTTAATACTTCACAGTATTGCATACAACTGATATTTACCTACTAAGGATAACTTATTTGACACAACTTTTTGGAATTTTGGGTCCTCAATGCTCTTCAACTTTGTACTTGTTTGGCTTTATAACTATTTTGATCTGAGCGTCACTGATGAGTCTTATGTAGACGGAACGCGCGTCTGGCGTATTAAATTATAATCCTGGTACATTTGATAACTAATTATAACCTAGTTTGATTGAAAATGACGTGAGTTCATTCAGTGCTTGTATTTATAGGTATATGTTAAGGCGATATTAGTTTACCGATGTTAAAGTTTCGTAAATCGATTAAGAAGAGACAAACAAAACTTGGTAAATCGCATGGACTCCAAAAGGAGCGAGACCAGGTGATTGTCTTCTACTATGCATGCAAGTGTCTTCCACTGTGCATGCATGTGTCTATCAAACGTGCAAGACTAATATACCTGTGACGATCAATGGAATCGGAGATCAGCGTCTTGTCCCTATCAATGTTTATTGTTTTAATGACTTATTCGGGATAAAAATGAATTGATCAAAACAAGATTTAAGAAACAGACCAAAAATCTAGGTATAAAACCAGGTTTAACCCACCATTTTCTTCGGAAAATGCCTGTAACAAATTAGGAATGTGACAGTTGTTTTTCACTAGTTTCGTTGATTGATAACGTTTGATTTTGTCAGTTTTTATGGACCTCCCCTTTTTGAATTTACCTTAGAGTTCGGTATTTTTTTATACTTTTCGTTTTGACCAGACATATTGAAAACTCTTGTCAAAGTTGACTGTGCAGTGTTATGAAATATAAAAAGAAAAGCTTTAATTACTTACATTTCTGATATGAAATGAATATATATTCTCCCTATCTATGTGATCAGTAGTGTATTGTTGAGTATATATACGGGTGAAAGAACTGTACATCAGGTATTTGTAAATTTGACATTTAAATTACTTAAGTCATTTGCAAATTTATCATTGAATTTAAATGCGTAAAAAGGAAACAAGATCAAGGGTTAAAATTTAAATTTATTCTTTTCAGCTATGCGAAGAAGAACTATAACAAAAATCTTTATTTTGTATATTTATTATGGTACTTTATGCGTGAATGTAAACGTTAAAGTAGATAAAATCATGCGTACTTTACTTTATTTTTTTATTATGTTTTCATTTCAATTCATCTAAAAAGAATATCCAAAGTGTATCAAATCGGATGTCTTACCCGATGTTCAGATATAGCATCTCATATTAACAGTTTATGTTCTGTTTTTAAAACTTTGAATGATTCAAAACACTACGGAGTTTTTATTTACCCTTAGGCATAGTACGATGTCATTATTCGTATTTGGCACGATTTCCCGGAACTTTTAGCTAGCAAATGCTAATTTTTATTTGATTTGCCATTCTGTTTTTATTTTTATTTGCCACTGATGAATCTTATGTGGATGAAACGCACGTATGCAATTACAAAATATAAGCCTGGATTTTCGATGGGTTTTTACATACACTAAGTCGATGCTACTGCTGGTGGACTTTTCATCCTCAAGGGTATCACAAGCCGCACTTTGTATTGGAATGACATATCATTGATATTGTCTTTTTCTCTAAACTTTATATTTATAAAACTTGAAATCATTCGAAACACTAAGGTTTTACAACCACCAGGCATAAATGGCTTCAGCCGGTTTTTGGTATATTTTTCGGAATTTTTGGTTTGGTTTTAAATGGTGTGTTGGTTTGGCTTTCCAACTTATTCGATTCGAGTTCCACTGACGAGTTGTAAGTGAATCAAACGCAAGTCTGGCGTAACACATCATAAGCTTGGTATCTCTGATGAGTTTTACAACCACTGGGTCGATGCCACTGCTGGTGGACGTTTGGTCTCCGAGTGTATCACCACCCCAATTTGTTGACATGAAATATAATTCCTCTTCAACTTCGATTCGAGGCTGATTTGGCCTGCCTTTGTTTATTCATTTGAACGCCACTGAAAAGTCTCATGTGAATGACGCACACCTGGTGTGACAAATTATAAACCCGGTATCTTTGATGAGTTTTTACATGACATTTTAGGTTCCATTTCTATATATAATTATTTCACACGACAAATCGGTAAAAGGGACTTATCTAACAGATACAAGGTATCTGCGTGCTATTTGTTAATAGCATTTTGTATTATTTCCTCAATATTTCCGACTTAGCCTATGACCGAAAGGGACCTAAAAGAGTAGCCAAATCCATTTAATAGAAAAGAATTTGTAAAAGTCATTTATACCTGAGGGAGTTGAAACCTTAGTTTATTGATAACTTAAAATTTTTTGCTGTGTTTTCTCAAACAACATGTCTTGTGGTCATCTGTCTTGTTAACAGCTTTGACATCTTCAAATGTTATAATTATATAACCAATCGATTTTTGATGTTTTGGCCCTTTAAACCATGACATTTCCCTGCTGGCAGGTCTACACAGGTGATTAATTCACTGTGTATAGTTGAGCGGTGTCTTCTCTTTGGTGCCACAGCCAACAATATACCCTTTCTGCCTACTGAGCCAGGTTCTCACATTGCAGCTGTTTGTTTCTGCGTTCCAGCTGCGATCTTGACAGGTATATATCAGTCTGAGGTACTTCGAGCTCTTCCTCTCATATGCCTCTATACAATTCTCCTTCAAGAATATTGTTAGTTTTATAAGTACTATTGCCTTCTGCTGAGTAGACCATAACAGTACATCTGGTATTTAGTTTGTCTGAACTGTTTCCTGAAACACAAGTTTACGACCCAGATCGAATTCCTACTGTCATAATGAAACCTTCAGGAGACTTAATGTTATCCTTTTTTTTTTGGTAAAACGTAGTACACAGGAATGAACTTCGGAATGGCTTAATCCATCAACTAGAAAAACTCTAAAGAACTTCTGGATAATTTTAAATCTTGATCTTTCTCTGAAATTAATTCTATCAAAAGTTTGATTTTTTAACCCTGTATACCACCTTTCTCCATGTGAAATTGAAAAATCGTCTTAAAGAAATAATCCACAATGCTTTTCAATAGAAAAATTGTAGCATACGCTCTAAATTTATTACTTAGTATACCATACGGGTTATTCTGTTAATAGTGAAAAAAAGGTAAAACATGCTACACAGAGGACCAAGTGATCAGTATGCTGGAGTTTCTTATTGACAACATATTTGTTGAATTTGGGGAAGACTTTTTCAACAAATTGTCGGCATTCCTGTGGGAACGAACTGTGTGCCTCTCCTTGCCGACCTCTTCTTATTTTCATTTGAGTGGGAGTTCCTTCAGACACTTATCAAAAACAAGAAGATAAAAAAAGCCAGATCATTTAATTTCACATTCAGATATATTGATGATGTTCTTTCCTTTAACAATCCAAACTTTTCTGATTGGGGTTCCTAAATATATCATCCAGAACTAGAAATTAAAGAAACAACAGACACGGCTTCCTCCGCCTCAATTTTAGATTCATACCTCGAATTTGACATAAGCAGTCATCTCAGTACCAGAATCAATGACAAACGAGACGATTTTAATTTTGAAATTATAAATTCCCCAACCCCCTTAGCAGCAACATAACAACTTCAACTGCATATTGGATATACATTTCCCAACTCATTCGGTATTCAAGAGATTGCCGCTGCTACTCAGACTTTATAAAACGTCACCAGTGTCGGAGCAGAAAGTTCATGAACCAGGGTAATGTCAAATAACGTCTCGTCCTTTTTCTAAAAAAGTTCCTACCGAATTAGACTATTTACCCCTATTTGTGACATTTTTACCTATTGTTTTTGTTTGTTTTGTTCACACATCGTTGTCAATATAATGGAATTTGATGCGACTGTCATATAAGTGAGAGGTTTAGCTAGCTTTAAAACCAGGTTCAACCCACCATTTTTTTCTTAAAATGTCCTGTACCAAGTCAGGAAAATGGCCATTTTATATTATAGTTCTTTTCTGTGTGTGTTACATTTTAATGTTGTGTCGTAGTAATCCTCTTATATTTGATGTGTTTCCCTCAGTTTTAGTTTGTAACCCGGATTTGTTTTTTTCTCAATCAATTTATGAATTTCGAACAGCAGTATACTACTGTTGCCTTTATTTATAATGTTTGGAAGCACCTGTATCTTCAACACTTTGTGCATCATGTGCCTTTACTGTTGTCAAGACAAAGATACTTTTGAAAGGACTGGTAAATGTTTCACACCAAAAAACCAATAGATTCAACTATTTCTCCAGTGCCTTTTACAATTTAAACTCGCTCATCTGGATCTATGTGCATCTTCAACAATGGCCACTCTCAACAATGTAGACTTGAATATTATTCATGACTAAAATCTCTCTTTTGTTGATCATTTTTACTGTTTACAGTTTACCTTTATCTTCTATAATTATTGCCCAAAATAAAAAAAAAAGGGAAAAGGTCGTAATTTAAGGGCAATAACTCTTATAATAAGGATTCGGCTGACAAGTTCAGAAATATTATCCTTTTTGTAGATGCTGATCTCTTTTGCAGCTTAAAGTTTTTCTTTACCCACCAGTTTTTGCCCAAAATGGAAAAATAGGTAAAAATCATCATTAAAGGGCAATAACTCCTATAAGCAGCCTAATTTGTTTATGCAAAGCCTGTTTCAAAGGAGTAATAAGGCTTAAATGTTCATATATTAAAGAAATCATAAATTTTAACATATTTTTTTCTTCCTTATGTCTGCTTTTATATAATTTAATAATTAACAATCATTATCACCATACACATAAAATATTCTTAATGAAATTAGAATAACAAATTAGTATACTTCAATGCAATAATGAAATTAGAATAACAAATTAGTACACTTAAATGCAATTATGAAATTAAAAACAAATTTTATTATACTAATACAATAGTATAATAGTATACAATATAAGACCATTATTGTCACATGAAAACATACTTCTTTCAAAATCATAAACATAAAAGATCTGGTCATAAAAGCAGAAAAAGATATTTTAAAATTCTTAAGCTTTGACCCGACAAAAAACCACAACATTTTCAGGAATCTTTAGAAAAAAATTATATTAGAATACTTCCACCTATTCATCTGAAAGTATTGATGGCAACAATTTGAGCTCATACTTTATCAACTGGTTATCTAAACAGGAATGTATTTTTCACTCAGTGCCTTAGAAATTCAATACAGAATATAATTTAATCAAGTATCATTTGTTAATCGATTGTTCAATTGTATCTTATATTTTTATTTACAGTGGCCATATACGATTATCAATAAAGCTGACAATGAAAGTAAGTAGTTTAAAATGGAAACTAAGGGCATTATGCTAATGTTGTTTAAATTTGTCCACCAATTTATTTTTTGGCAGATCTGTTAGTTAGTCCCTGTAAAACCCCAAAAATGTACCTAGAATGGTTTTTTGATAACCTTAATTCATGGATGGTTTTCTGTATAACTATTTTATTATTATTCACAAAAAGGCAATATAATGTATTGTTAGAAATATTATATGATACACAATATACAAGATTAAAATTTTATTTGTAAGCAGTGATACACAATGTGTACCCATTATGCTTTTGTTTGGTTGATTGGGCATAAACATTTCTATCAAAATAATTCTGAAAATTATAAACTATCTGGTACTGCAAGTCTTCTGACAACAATAATCATAAAAACAGTAATCTTTGAGTGGCTCTCCACTGTCCCTTGCTTTTGTATTTGTCAGTACAAACAATCTCCTTAGTTGTCTTAGTATGTTAATGATTCTAGACAGAGGAAAAACAATATACAAAGCTTCCACAGATGTCTTCAGTCACAGCATTTTTTTTATTATACCTGTAGTATGGTCTTAGTACTTAAATTTCAATTCAAACTACTTCCTTTTTCTTTTTCCGCCTCCATCTAAATTTTTTACCCCCCAGTAAATGTCTATTAGTTGGATGATTTAAAGCTAATAATACTGGTCCATGTAATAACAAGGACATACTGTGTTCTGAAAAAAATATATAAATCTATCAGCTGCATGTTTTCATTATTTCACAAATAAAGGTCATTTATTGAATGGACCATTCGATATACTGTATATTTTCGGAAATCATTTTATAAAATGTTTTTATTATGTCATAAATATCACAAGATTAGAATCAAATTAATTTAACTAGACATTTTTAGGTAACATAGCATTGTGCCCTTTCACAATTTCCATTGTCTATGGCTTAAATTGTATATTTGTGAAATATAGCAGTGTTACGAAAATTAGAGAAAATCTACCTCGAATACCTGCATTTTTACTAAGTTTTTAAGTGTAACTGTACCAAAAACAATGCTTTATTATAACAGCAGTTAGTAGGTACTTGAACTTGCTTGTGACCACTTAGTATTTTTGATTTGTACTTTAATGGAAAATTAACAAATGCCTTACATGATCATGAGACCAAAGCCAACCCACATGTCGATTAAGGTAACACTATACAGAATGACGTTACGCCACGAGTTATCGTTCCTGCTGTTGTCGACATCTTTGAAATTGACGGCAAACGTAAAACCTGATGTTTTATAATAACTTAGAACGAATTAAACAAACAATTTGCCTCAGTCTGGTATAAAATAGTTGAAAGATAAATGTTTCTTTATTTCAAATTTGCAAATATATATGATTATATATTAAAAATACCTTCATTTTAACGTCGCTTTCTATACGTATCATATTTAATCACAAAACAAAAACCTTTGCATAATTACGATTCAAAAAAAAGAACAAAAATGAGAAAAAAAAATCACACTTAGGTGAAATATAAATAGTAAATTAACCATTTATTTTTATTAATATTTTTATAGTAAATTTGCATAGATGCAGAATGTCGAGGGATTTGATGCAATACGTTATTTGAAATTGATTGCTTCGGCGTCTTCCTCCCATTCTTCTTCTCATTCTTCACATTTAAATATATACTTTTTAAATGTTCTGTTTCTATTGATAAGTAAGCATGTGTACGATTAATCTATATATGTTCTTATGCATAACAGACTGAGCTTTTTATTCTGGGTTGAAAGTATAAATCCAAATTATAGAAACGCATGATAATGTATGAAAATACGGGGAATTGTACCACAATTAATGCAATTCCGCTATGAAGCCCATTCGTTTTTAAATGGTCACCGAAAAACGTCACTAGCAAAAAAGAAAAAGGAAATTTATTTGGAAAAGAATACCAATAGAATTTAACGGAAAAACACCATGCAAGCAGACGTACAAACTCAGACAGAAACTGGTTTATTGGCATGGAATGAAAAAAGAAGAGTTGTTGAAATTGGCTATTTGGCCGAACAACTTTCCCTATGTTTCAAGTGTAAACAGTATTTGAAATTTGTTGGACTGTACAGAAGAAATCCGATATGGTTTCGGAAGCTTGTTGAAAACAAACTACTAGCATTGTAATTTTATAAGCACAGTCTAAACAGGACAGCTACATCGGAATAAGGAGAAAGTTAACAAAAACAAATGGAATGTCAACACTAAATGAGCACTCGGTTAAGTCCAAATAAAATTTAATCATTCAGATCCCGTTACATCTTTTTCTTTCAATTCCATTCTGATATAAATTATTTTCTCGAAACCAATCAAACGATTAATTAAAAACCTGTGGCCCAACAATGAATGAATGATCGGTGCTTCGATGAAGGTTAATCCAGAAAAGCACTTCGAACGCAAACAAGCTACAAAACGATATTTTCATTAACCTATTTTATTCAAACGGCAAAAACAAACTGATTAAAAAAACAGTTCCAATGCCCCCCACCACAAGCCCTCCCGCGTTGTACATATTGTATCTGTCAATGGCCATTATAACTTTAAAAAAAATTGTTCGTTCTTTGATTGATTTTTTTTTTTATAAATATCGTTAATAGAGAAATGCAGATTTGAGAGCAAATGCAATGAAAGGAGTAGGCCCGGTAAGACCCCATTTTGGCCCCAAAATATAGCATTTCAAAAATTTGTTAAAAATTTAAACTTTAAGCATTTTATTGGAAAGAAGAATACTTTTGTTACATAAACATGGGCTGTTTTTGACAATACAATGTACATGCATCAGGTACATTTTGTACTAGCATCATTAATGCATGCAACATAACGAAATCTTCACAATTTTAGCATTTGTGCTTATTTTTAGACGGTTTTTGTTGAAAATGGAAGTGGCCGCACTTGTGTTCAGTCTTAATATTTAAATATATGTTGTATTTGATGATAATACATGACATATATATAGGTTGAGACTGAACACGAATGCAGCCACTTTCATTTTTAGACAAAAACCATCTGAAAAGTGACGTTTTGTGGCATATTTGATAGATTTTTCATATTTAAGCTTGAATTAAGGCGTCTCTAAGGACCAAATCAGTTTAAAATATTTTACATAAACTAATTGAATCGACTGAAGAAGGCACTTAAGTGTTTAAAAAATGTCAAAAATCTTTCATGAGATGTACTTCATATTTTAGGCCAAAATAAGCCCTAACCGGACCTTCTCCTTTCCAATATAATCATTATTTCCAAGGGGCATAACTCTTTTAAAAATATTTGATCAGCACTGACCTTCGAAATTATCCAAGACAATGCTGATATAAACCTTTAATCTAAATTATTCAAAGAACTGGCAAAAATTGTACACGTGAGAGCTGCTTAAAAATGCAATTTTCCATATATTAATTAATACATCCAAGCGGCATGGCTCTTTCAAAAGTAATTGATCGGCATTGATTTTCAAACTTGTCAGCGAAAATGCTGATATAAACCTAATATATAAGCTTTATAAAAATCAGGCAAGAATTGTACACGTCAGAGAGCTAACAAGACCGGACAGACAAACGGACGGACGGAAGGACGGACGCCCGGTATTTGTATATCCACCACAACAAGCGCGCGGAGACAAAAATCCAACGAGATCTTAAAATCAATTTTATTTTAGATTCATATTAATTTGCACTTTGTCTTCGGGGAGGGGTGTGTTTTTGGTGTTTTGAGTTGGTCATGACGTACAGGTACAGCTGATAAAAACGCACCTTTTCACAAAGTGGGGAGACAAAACGACTCACAGACGATTAGCAAAGGTGCCTTTTGGGGGATAGGCATATTGCTCACATAGTCGTCGGGAAAAGCCCGAGATACTTCGCAGTCTTAAAAGGAGTTTTTACAACAAGTATACAAGTGTTTATGTAAATTAAAAGGGTTGTTTTTTCTTTGTGTGCATAAATGGAAATGTGGGATATACAATAAAACAGCAAATGGCCAATTAATGACACACAAAACCAAAGACATCTATATAACACGTGACTAATGCAGGATGGACGAGTATTTTTTTAATGCTAATTTGTAGTTTTAGTGAAGATTCGTTGGTCCCTTTAATTGGAAAGTTAATAAGTATATTTAGTATGGCAAGTATTAAATCTATCAAATTATAACATCACATGTTCACAACAAAAGTCAGATTTTAACTATAACAGCAACATATTTCAGTCTCCTAATACGTATTTGTTAGTCTTTAAATTCTTGTATTTTAGGAGAAAACACAATCGCTTATGAAATAAGGAGATGTGGTATGTTTGCCAATTAGACAGCTTTTCATCAAAGACCAAATGACGTAGACGTTAGCTTGCTTACGTTGCTACATTTGAGATCTCCATATTACCATTCCACTATGAACTGCTTATTCAAAAAGATATTTTGTCACCAAATGATTTATAAAATAGAACATCATCATATATGCTAATATATATTTTGCTCCCTTGACAAAATGCTGGGAGCATATTGGTTTACCCGTGTCCTTTGACAGTCCGTCCCTTACTTGGTATATAGAGTTTATACCACTGATTTTTTTTAGGATTACAGTTTTAAAGCTTTAACTTTTAAATTATGTACTTGGTGTTAGTAAAAATACAATACGCGCATCTTGTTTTGAAAGCTAACTTGAAGTGCACCCAGTTAGGACGAAATAAAATTAACTCATTAGAATGTTATATTGAATTTAAGGAAATTTCCGACAGGAGGAATGAAAATAAAATAACAAACACCATTCAGATCCCGTTACATATTTTTTTTCAATCCCTCAGAATAAAAATAAAGTTATTCTGTATTCCGTAACATCACATATTTTTGTCAATTTCTAATCTTATCGGTCATCTTTGAAGCGATTTATCTAATAAACAAGGATGGTGACATATGTTTTTTTATGCATGTATGGATTTGGTATACAATCCTGGATATTATGTTAGTTTTTAGTCTTTCTCCGTATATGAGAAAAGTAAGTCGAAAAAAAGACATTTTCCTTATATATCTATGTAAATTTGGCGCCAAAATTGACATTTACTTTACAAAATTACAAAAAAACAAGAATGGTGACCCCCATTTTTTATTTCATATTCCGATGTAACTCGATATAAAGTACCAGTGTGCTAAAAATTTTAGAAATCGGGAGATATGCCATTCGGTATCGTGTTACCTTAACAGTATTATACTATGAAAGAAACAATAATAGGTTATCGTTTTTTTGCTGTATAACATATTTGTATTTCGATTATTGTTTTGTACATAAATCAGGCAGATAGTTTTCTTACATGTATTTGATTTGTTATACATTTTTCATGTCAGGGCCTTTTATAGCTTGGTATGTGGTATGGGTTTTGTAATTATTGAAGGCCTAGAGAGATTTAGAATTGCTTATATGCACATCATTTTGTCTCAGGTTGAGAGTTGTCTCATTGGCAATCATACCACTTCTCCTTATTTTTATCCATGTAGTGATATAATTTTGATATAATATATAGACTGATAAATTGTTCATTTTTCAAGCAATAATTTGCACTAAAGTACTGTTTATAACTTAACTGCACTAATATAGTTTTCAATTCTTGAAATGTGTGCTACATGTTTACAACATACCATCTACTTCTTTACTTATCTGAGTCCAAGATTCTAAATAATTTTCCTTTTCGTCTCTATTCATTCCATATGGATTTAATCCCCTACTTAGACAAGACTGCAATAGAAGAATCACTCATAAGTTGCTGACATCTGAATGCAGTGACTTTAATAACATAATACTGTACATTAATCGTGGACATATTTTGCTTGCTACTTTCTGTTCAAAAGTAAAATAACAAAAATACCAAACTCCAAGGAAAACTCAATCGGAAAGTCCCTTATCAAATGGCAAAATCAAAAGCTCAAACACATCAAACTCATGGAAAACAACTGTCATATTCCTGACTTGGTACAAATAGATATTATTTTGTCATAAATACTATCAAGCTTTTGCCTAACTGCAAAACCATAACTCTAATGGGCCTGATGCTTTCTGATTTGTGGAGACCATTGCCAAAAAAAATAAGTTCCATCCGAGCTACATTTTGCCATAATGCACTGAGTGCTTCATCAAATAAAATTATCAATTTGAACTCTAGCAAGGCAAAAGTTCATACTGAATGATAGTCATTGACAAACCAAGCTCTTGTTATGAACAACTTACAATTACTCTTATATCAAATAACAAATCTTTATAGATTAATGTATTTAAGTTTTAAAGGAGTTAGTACATGTACATGAAATTACTTTTGTTGTAAATATTTTCACCATTCACTTATCCCATGTCAACAAAAATCATTTTGGAATCAATATCAAGTCTTACCGTATTGATGTCCTCCTCGGTCATAGAGTTAAAACCCTCCCTGACAATAGCCAAGTCTGTATGAAGTAATATCAATCCTTCTTGTACTAACTTTGATCTTCGTAATGAAAACCCAAATGTTTTTGCAAGATGTCTCTGAAAATATATAATTTTTTTTCTCAATTTTCCAAACCAAAATAAAAGCATGCCAGGTCATCTTGTATATTACTAAGACTTTAAAAAAAACTAAAGAAGATACTTTGTCATGTCAAGACTCCCTGGTTGGTTTATTTGTATAGACATCTGTATAATTTTATTGAATCACTGGTGAATTTCTTAAATTCAATGACAGTCTTCAAAGGTACAAGTATATGGTTACTGACATTTATCTAATATAAAAGTCGTAATTAATTGAAACAGTAGAAGGGACACAACTCTTTAAAGGAATGCAGGTATGATTCATTTTTTTTTTATATCTTCCACATTCTCTACACTGTCATCAGGATAAATACAAGGAGAAATATTTCCTTGGACTCCTGAATTCAGGTAACTTCAAGTTGAGGTCACAGTTGATAATGGTTTATATACTATATATTTGATGTAATGAATGTTTGTAAACTTGTTTGTAATATCAAACTAATGAAAAGTGAAAAATTGTTTATAATATCAAACTAATGAAAAGTATAATTGAATTAAAAGTTCAAATTATAAAAAGTGTTGTTCTATTATGAAAAGACTTTATAAATTTCGAGTTCTTTTGACCAGTCTTTTTCTTTTTATTCATCCAGGCATAATATTAATAAACTGTCACTAGTTTTTTTGGGATCATTACTATCGTTGATTCTAAATGCTATAGAAACTATTATGGTAGTTCTTTATTGTAGTGCAACATTCTTGCATAATGAATACAAAAGGTTTTATAAACTTACAGAATATGCAAATGATAATTTCTCTGCCTTAAAGTTATAAGTCTCAAATACTGGCTTTACTTCTAAAATTTCTTCAACTGTTGGATGCAAGGAGTTTTCTAGCTAAAAATAGTAAAGAACAGTAAGCAAGGTACTATAAAAGTAATCACTTCAATCAGATACAGATACTATATATTACACAATGGCATATCTCCTTTTCTTTTAAAAATACTAAGGCCAAACAAAAAGCATGTGTGTTTATTGTTTCCTCTTTAAAAAATAAAATTGGGTAGGTAGGTAAGAATTCTTTCTTTTATTTTGGTCAATATGTTTACACTGGGTATATTGGGAAACCTGGAAATTATAACAATTCACTACTAAAAGTGCCAATTAAATCTAAGGGTAGGAGGCATTTTGAAGCTTAAAATAATTGGGTCAGTAGGAAAACCCTAAACACAAGTTGTTTTGTTTTTATTTTGGCCTAAATCATTGTTAATCACATATTTATATTGAATTCAAATGCCAAAAAAAAAACTATTATTTCAAATCTTCTTGCATGCATATCATTACTACATAGTAATAATAAGAAATTTTAGTTTCTCTTCCTTGGTTCAGGTACAGGCTTTGTCCCAGGTTAGAGTTATCTTTTTGACATTGTTCTACAACTTTTTTATCAATATTGTATTTATATTGTGTCATAAATCAAACTTATTCGTTCAGTGTATGTTTACCTGTCTTTTTATTATATAGATATATATAAGAAGATGTGGTATGAGTGCCAATGAGACAACTCTCCATCCAAGTCAAAATTTATAAAAGTAAACCATTATAGGTCACAGTACAGTCTTCAACACGGAGCCTTGGCTCACACCGAACAGTAAGCTATAAAGGGCCCCAAAAATTACTAGTGTAAAACCATTCAAACGGGAAAACCAACGGTCTAATCTATATAAAAAACGAGAAACGAGAAACACTTTTGAACCACATCAACAAACGACAACTACTGAACATCAGATTCCTGACTTAGGACAGGTGCAAACAAATGCAGCGGGTTTAAACGTTTTAATGGTACCAAACCTTCACCCTTTTTCTGAAACAATAGTGTAACATCACAACATAGAAAGACACACTATAAAATATCAACTGTAATAGCTTAACTCAATCAAAGGACATATTAACACCATTGAACATACACTGAACAAATAAATTTGACCAATGATACAATGTAAATACAAAATAAATAAACTAAGGGAAGAATAATAAAAGTAACATGTTATATCAATATGAAATGTTAAACAATTAAAGAAAAACAATATGCTCGAACAAAAATATCAGCCATTTGCAATAAATTTAAACACAGGTAAATGAAAATAATTTTGTTATTAGGTATATGTGTACAGTTCCAATATAGAAAGGAAATATTTTTACAAAATAAATCATTTTGATGTTCATAGTATGAAGTGAAAATTTATAGTAATACCAAACACTTATCAAAGCTGGTATATATATAAAACAGATATAACCCTGAATAACATTAAATAACAAAAAAGCAATACAATTAGTATCAACAGGTCAAATAAACAAGAAAGTACGATTTGAGAGTACTGACAGCTAGTTAAAAGCCAAAACAATTAATAATAAAAAATCATGCATCAGAGACTAAAATCAACTAAAACACATCTCAGGGATTTAGTATTTTAACGTCATGGACAGTCAAAGAAAACATGACTAGTGCAATGCCAAAAATAAATGTATCGACAGACAGTAGGATAGTTAGGAGTTTAACCTCTTTATAGATCAAAACGAACGTGGGTGTGTCTTTATACATCCCGTTTGAAAAGAATACAAATTTAGTTATGTTTTAATTTGCTGATGACAAAATCGATATTAGTGCCAATGTAAACTATATTCAAAGATCTAATTGCAACATTGGTAAGATAACCTTTACTAATAAGTTTGTTTAAAGGTTTGATGAGTTTACACGGATCACATAGTGATTTCAGTGCTTTAAGTACAATATTACCGTAAAATTTAGGATGTGAAATACCGTTTATAATCAGTTTTCTACAAGTACAGCCAAATTTACTAATCAAATCTTTGTATCTATGAAAGAACTTAGCAAAAGTTTTACGTAATTTATGGTAACGAAATCCCTGACTTAATAATTTACCAGTGATGCATTGATTACGTTCGTTAAAATCTATGACATCACTACACACACGGGCATATGTCTTTTTGATCGAGTTAACAGTCAGGGGCATTACTTAAACAAGTAACTTTTAAAATTACCTATACAAGTTATGTTGAAAACAAGGCTATTTTAAATATTACTTATATAAGTAACTTTTGTAAATATTATTTTTATAGGTGTCCTTTCATACAGATTTTAATAGCTTTAACAAATTTCACAGACATCTGGTTATTTTCCCCATGAAATATAAAAACTAATCCTCCTGAAACACTAATTGCCTTTCTTACACTTCTGGGTCAAAGATTGGTCTCTTGGGACTATTAAAATATCGTTTTTCTTGAAAATCTTGAGGTAGGCAGACATAAATAGATAGAAACTTGTGATTTAATTAAGACTTGAAGTTATTTATAATTTGTAACCAAAAACAATTACATATGTTCCTTAAATAATTGTAATTACTAATTCTTTGAAAAATGTATAAAATGACTTAATGAAGTAATATTTTTGTCATTATTTTTAAAGTAACGGTGTATCGCTATACTCCTCTCAAATTTAATAAATTCTTAATTTTAAGTGATAAAATGATGTTAAATTTCATAAAAACTACATTTAGTCCATGCTTCTATTGAAATTTAAAATAACTGTTTTGAGTAATTTAAAAATGTTTGAAAACAAAAATTACCTATATAAGTAACTAAAAAATATAACTTGTTTAAGTAACGCCCCTGACTGGTTAAGCCATTTCAATTGATATTTTATAGTGTGTCTTTTTATGTTGTAATGTTACACTACTGTTTCAGGTTAGGGTGAAGGTTGGTGCCTGTTAAAACGTTTAAACCCGCTGCATTTGTATGCACCTGTCTTAAGTCAGGAGCCTGTTGTTCAGTGGTTGTCGTTTGCTGATTTGGTTCATAAGTGTTTCTCGTTTTTTATATAGATTAGACCGTTGGTTTTCCTGTTGCCAAAGCTCTGTGTTGAAGGCCGTACTTTGACCTATAATTGCTTACTTTTTACACATTGTGACTTGGATGGAGAGTTGTCTCATTGGCACTCATACTACATCTTCTTATTTATATTAATAATTTGAATTTTTAATGATTATCTTGTTTTTAAAAATTATTTGCATTTTTGTAGCAGGTCTTTTCTTGTTGCTCTTTCTAAAAAAAATGATTCCTTACCATATAAACAAAAGTAAGTGTTCCTACAATTTAAGCAATGTTAATTTTGCATCATGTGTGTTGTACTTCCAGGTAATATTTGATATATATCATGCATGAAAAACTTACGTCTTGTATGTATTTGATCCAGTTCTCATGTTATTCTATTTAATGTACTTACTTTATGAAATATGTGTTCCATTTTAAGTTTATATTCTGTATGAGGTATATGTCTACATGCTATTTCCATGTGATCTAGAATTAATGGCAAATGTTTTATTCTGTCTTTATGTCTTTGTTCATATACTTCTTTCTTTATTTCCTCCGTCCAGAAATGACTTGTCAATAATAATTTGGGATAAAGGTAGCTGAAAAAAAAACACAAAATAGAGTGAAATGCTTTAAATGGGAATTATTTTCCCTTGACCACTATCTGAGAAATGTTTCTTTATTTCAAGCACTCTCTGCTCATTGGAACCAAGACAGGCAGTATGTTTTCTTGGTTAAATATTTTGACACCCTGAAAGTTAATATCTAGAACTGATAAAGGGCTGTTATTAATTCTTGACTTAGGTATACATTATAGAATGTAAGTAAAATATAAAGACAAAGAAATTAAATACATGTCCCACACTTTTTTGCAAAAAATAAATCATCTACAAATCGTAAATACCTTTACTAATCTATATCTCATAAGGGAGATAATTTTTGTTCTTCAAATTTTTTAGTTAATATGGTTGACATATATACAAGAAGAATATGTCTCCATATGACACCATGCTAAGCTTACAGTGACATCTGGGTCTAAAACTTAATTTGGCATATATTTCACATAATAATGAAAATGTATATTAATTTCCAATTAGTATGACCAAAACTTCATAGTACCGGTAAGCAAACTTGTACCAAAACTTCAAAATTTAAATATGGGGTGTAAAGAAAGAATCAAAGACTGGAAAACATAATCCCCCTACTATTGCAAGTGGGGCATAAAAGTGAAGTTCCACGAAATTAGAAAAAAGAGATGATGTATGGTTCCATTAGTAACTGAATAATCCCTGAAAAAGGTCAGTGGCGGTCCGACGGATCCAGGAGTGGGGGTTCCGGCGATTGAAACCCCCCTTTTTTTTGACATATGGTTTGAACCCCCCTTTATCCTGGGTTGGAACCCCCATTTTAAAAATGGCTGGATCTGCCCCTGAAGATCCACCAATCTAGAAGGACCTACAGATTATCAATGGTGGGGATAGATTAGGAAGATATTGATACTATGGAACATCATCCTGTTTTACAGATTTACAAACTTTCCAGCTTAATTACATAAAACTTCAATCAGTAGCCATTTATAAAATCATAAAGCAATTGTAAATTTTACTTACGCTATTGGTAGTATGGTAGGAAAGACAACAAAAGCACCAGGCATCATAGCTACTACAAGCATGGGGGCTGCTTTTATCATCTCACTTGGCATCTGAAAAAATTGATAGAAAAAATATTTTCAGATCTGACTACTGCTATTTTTTTCATGATACTTCTGATATAAAATAAACTGTTACATAATATGCATAATAAATCAAGTCTTATATAGTATATAACATAACAGTTAAAAATATTTATGTAAATTAAGAGACAAAAATTACCGGTGTTGTTTTCACCACTGTTAGCTACCAATATCAGTTCAAAAGATCAGACTGGGGTTATTGTGATGTTCTAATTTTTGGATATATAACCTTATTTTTGGAATTATTTATATTGTTTTGAATAGTTAATGGTTCATATTGACATGATCTATCGCTGAGAATTTTATTCATCAGTTTATTAAGCATACATGTACCAGGTACATGTAACATTATAACTGTAAGGTGTATCGAATTAATTATGTTTTTTTGTGAGGTTTTAATATTCAATTTTTGATAGATACATTGTGTAATTTGCATCATTACATGATTCAAGTTTTTTTGAACATTTTGTGGTTTGTGTTGGAAATTTCAGTTTGTGTTTTGTATTTGCACTTGGTAGTGCAAATCAGAATCTTGTGTCTTGTTGGAGATTGTGTAAATGACTAGTTTGCATTCAGTAACCTCGGTAACCTTACTTTAACAGCTACTTTTACCAATGGTGGCAAGTTTAGGTTCGATTCAACTGATCACATTTATTCAAAAGTTCATGCAACTAATCAGGACTATGACAGTCAAACATTATTTTTCCCATGAGTATGAAGACAATGATATGTGGTTTGATTGACAATGAGACACCTATAATTCACAATAGACTAAAGGACCAGGATGTGAACACCTATAAGGCACTGTAAGGCCTTCAACAATGAGCAAATCCCATATAGGTTTATTTTAAAAGCAACTATAAGGTTCTCAGGTTGCATGATTTATGTTTGTTTTTCCCTACTCTTGTTACATTATGTACATTGATATCAAAAGATAAGAAACAGGTGAATGCAGACTAGAAAGATACAGTACCATTTAAACGAATCGATTCAAGATCGGTTTTTTTCCGATTTCCGTGTTTTTCGGAGTCACACCGCATACCACAGATTATACTCCCAATTTCCTCCAAAGATTCTCTCCCAACACCGTGTGGCTGTTAATTGGTTTATTGCCCATCGGATGTCCTAAAAATTAACGACGCGTGACAACATAATCGGATTAGCCAGATTATTTACCTTATGTTCATTTAATCCATCTTGATTGCACCTGTGTGCTTTAAAAACACGGTATTAAAATTTTAACAATTGTTTTCTTTTCTTTGACAGATAAAGATGTGATATTATCATTCAGCATAAGATAATTATTCCTATATGTTTTTGCCTTATGTCATTGTCATTTGAAATAAAACGTACAAACGAATAAAAATACGAAGAAAAAACTTATTTTGTATTTATATTATAGTCTGGTCAGTTCTTGCAACAAAGATGATTTTACCACAATTAGAATCTTTTATGACTTACTCAGTAAGCAATTTCAGGTGCATATTTATTTTGCAATGTAAAATATTATGTTTCACTACCTCGGTACATGACCGACTTGAATTATTTGAATTCCGAAAAGACACATCTATGGTTGAACAAAGGGAATAAGTTTTGTATGCATGCCCTTTATTCATGAAAACAAAACACTGAGAGAAATTCTCCGCCCAGACACACAACATTCACAACTTAATTATATGGAAAAAAATTATCGTTTATCTCTGTTATTGATCATTAATTATTTAAAAAAAGAAATTGGATGAGCGCAACCCGTATTTTATAGCTCGTTAAAAGTTCTTGGCGAAATGAAAAAAATGAACTATTTCAACAATTACTATAGAAAAAAATCAAATATATATACGAAAAATATTAAAATGAAATTATATCGTGTACCCAGATGCTACAAGAAAAAATAAGTGGACAGGATTTTAATGATCTACACATTTTCATAGAGGATCTCTACCAACGCCCAACTTAACGACATGCATCGTGTTTTCATCTACAATAAGTTTATATTGTTGACCATGGACATATAACGTAACTAATGTTCAGGTCGGTTTTGACTGATAAAACATAAAAAATAAAATAGTTAAAGAAGACATGTGTCGTTTATTCGGAAAAGGATTATATTTTAGATTCCGGTTAATCAATTGTAAAAGGACCTTCTAGAGCCTCAATACTAACGTACAAAAATGTAAATCATTAATACAAAGCAACTTTAAAACCTGAATTAATTTTCCAACGGTCGTTCAGAGAGGTCACCTGAGTTTACTGGTACGTGATATTATTTCCTGCCATATAAAGATCTCGTGCTGCGGATAAAATTGATGTCAGCTATTTTTAGCATTTAATATTGTGAGTAGTCAAGTTCAAGTTCAACAACACACTGTTGATCACTGAGATGTGTATCGTGGAATTGTCTTCCATCGGCAAATTAATTTCTTTTAAAATCTTTTAAGATCAAGTGCTGTCCAAAATACAACACACAAGTTTACATTCATTGTGAGTAAATAAATATTATGCAAAGACGAGTCATTGTGCAGCTGTGGAAGTATTCCTGTTGTAGCCGAAATGTATTATCATCCTAAAGTAATGCCAACAAATCGTAAAAAGAAAATGCCGTAAGACTCATTAAGCATAATGAATGGTGAATAATATTATCTTTTTTACTTGTATATACAAAACTTTGAGACACGTTATTTTCTTTAAACTGCTCACATTTAATCAGCGGTAGTTTCCGTTTATTTTTACACAAGTTTGTCCCTTTTCGTAAATGTTTTTTATAAAACTTTAATGCAATTGAAAGAACTAGCAACAACATTTTGCTTTTAAATCTTTTATTTGTTTCAAGCAATTAGATAATCGTAAAAAGAAAATGCCGTAGACTTATTAAGCATAACGAATGGTGAATAATATTTTCTTTTTTACTTGTATACAAAACTTTGAGACACGTAATTCTCTTTAAACTGCTCACATTTATTCAGCTTTGAAATAGAATTTCACGTTTTTTTCCACATTTTCCACAAAATTTTATAAACCTTTTCCGGTAATGTCTGTTTTTTTTAAACAAGCAAGTCCATTTAGGTAAAGATATTTTTAGATTAGCAAGCAAGAAATACGAATATATTTTAACTTATTTTTAACACAAAAATTAAACTTAACCAATATAAAAAGACATTTAAAATTATACACTTGTTTGACACTTACATGTAAACTGGTACAGTAGACCGGAAATATAATTGTTTATGACATCAGGTAATCCAATTACCCTATCAGTCGTGTGTCGGCATAGATGAAAGTAGGATTAGGGCAATTAATTCCTCGGTGTTTGGAGTGAGCTCGCTATCACAATGAACATTTATGCGATTTTGAGAGAGATTACTCCTAAATTCCTCCCAACATTTTGGGAGGAATATCGGAGTTTCTCGGAGTGACTCCGAAATTTTCCTTGGTGTAGGGTGTGGGAGAGCTGATTGGTTTGAATGGTACTGTATAAAAATCTAAAAAAAACCTTACCTGTTGATAAATTACAAGTTCCTTACGAGAAAATGTATGTAGTTCCTTGCTGTTATACCATATATCTTTACTAACTTGATAATATGTCTTTGTATCCCCCAATAAATCATTAAATCCTAGAAAAAAAAACCATATTATTCTGAAAAATACATCTAATGCTAATTTTCATAGATTCAAATTGACTCAAAAACTGTGGTTGCTTTTGTTTGTTTGTTTGTTTGTTTGTTTGTTTGGTAAGGCATAATGCCTCTTTGTATTAACATACATTGTACATTCTGATTCTTACAAATTAATATAAGTTGATACTTTTACATAAAGAACTATTTGTTGTGTTTTTTTATTCAGTATAAATTGCACAATTCTGTTTTTTTTCAATTTTTGCTGAATATATAGGTTTATGATTAACAATTCTTTTTCTCATGAAGAGTATCATTTCACAAAAATTTGGTCACATGATTTTTTTAGAAATTTTACAATAAATTTTCTGTCATTTTACCTTTAGCATGTTTAGTAATGGTATTTGAGCTGCTGTCTTATTAATGTATATCCCACTTTGCTTGATCCATATTGAATGGTTGATGATACTTTACACCAGCAACTTTTCAAGGAGATCACAAATGTATAATTTCCTCAAGGATTTTTAGACTAATTTTTTTAAGTGGATTCCTTATTGCTGATGCAGCCATCTAGGGTCTCTATTGCCGTGTAGTAGCTGATTTGTTGGGTTTTTTTTTTAATTCATGTCAAGACACCAGATCATTTCTATCAAGCGAAGGCAATAAGATTTGAAATCATGAAATGCTTATCTTATGAAAACAATTTGTTTGGCTAACAATCATGACAATATGGAATCAGACAACACAATAGTTCAATAATAATCAAATAAACAATTCTAAGAATTACCAAAGTAGAAATTAAAAAAAAAAAAGGTTATTAAATAAAATTAAGACTACAGACAAGTTAATAAAATAAAAATAAAATTATATGAAATTATATAGAGGGTATGGGTGAGCAGCTAGTTAAAATTTTTCTCAAGATTATCGAAATAATTTAAATCAACACTTCAACTGGAAATTCAAAAACAACATAAAATGAACTAAGTGTTTACCACCTACAATATAATCTAGAAGTGATTTTAGCAGGCATGTAATTTAGTACGTAAATACAGGCGAGTAGATATCAACTGATAATCCAGTTAGAAAAGTTATAAAAAAAATTAAGTAGTAATAAAATGAATTTAATTTAAATCTTTGTGTGCAGAAAAACAATAATGAACCAGTGAAGAATAATAAATTATGCAAGAATGGAAAATTCTTGCTTAGTAATTATTCATTTTTACTAAAATAAAATTTCCAAATGGCTCATACTGGACTTTTATGTCAAGCAAGAAAGATAACTCCTGAAATTTATGGCTTCATTAAAAATCTGAATCCTATGTGTATTTAATAAGTTTTCTCCTGCACCTATACTATCCTGCTAAGTCGCTCTGTAATTTTCTTATCATATCTTTAGGATGTGAGCAGAACTTAGTGAATTCACAATGTGTGAGGAGAAGTATTATAGCTTACTTTCATCATGCATATAAATGTGTAGAGCAGGGAAACTTTAAGTTTTGAACTTACCAACTTTAAAAGTCTTGTAAAATTTGAATGCTGAAGGATTGTTAGTTTCTACAAAATTTTCACATTTTTCAATCGTCTTTACAAATTTGTTTATTAAATATCTCTTCAATCTACCAGGAGGTCCAAGTGTGTCTTGTGGATGAGAACAGTAGTACCTAAAAACATAAAATGCATTTGAATTTAATTTATCTAGGGCATGCTATGCCTTAAAACTTTACCAGATGCACAGGTTACTCTGTCCTCGGAATAAATATTAAATTTTGAGGTGAAAATGCAGCCATTTTAGCCAAAAGGTCCACATGAACCTTAAATACACCTTATCACTTTTTGTCCACCATAGCATCTTTTGAATTCATGCATTTTCCTGTACATTTTCTATGTCACAATGCTTCTGTTATTACATCACATTAAGAATCCATTGTTCAATGAGGTCATTTACACAGATTGGTCGATGAAACCATGCTAACGTTACACCAGTATATAGAAAAGGAGACAAACATCATCCTGGTAATTATAGACCAATTTCACTTACCTGCATCTCATGTAAATTACTTGAACATATACTAGCTAGTAACATGATGAAACACCTTGAAACAAATAAATACTTTATGAACTACAACACAGATTCAAAGCAAAAAGATCATGCAAATCACAGGTAATATCTCTCATACACCAACTAGCTCAAAACAATGATAATAAAAGAACAGACTTCCAATGTCCCCCGCGTTGCACATATTTTAGATTTTCCAAGGGGCATAACTTTTTAAAAAAGTCAATCGTCCACCATTATAGAACTTGTCCGAGATATTGCTGATATTAACCTATAGTATAAGTTTTATCAAAATCTGGCAAGAATTGTACCTGTGAGAGTGCTAACAAGGCATTTCCTTAAATTTAATATTTCAAAGGGGCATAACTCTTTTTTAAAAAGTTGATCGTCCACCATTATAGAACTTGTCCGAGATATTACTGATATTAACCTATAGTATAAGTTTTATCAAAATCTGGCAAGAATTGTACCTGTGAGAGTGCTAACAAGGCCATTTCCTTAAATTTAATATTTCCAAGGGGCATAACTCTTTTTTAAAAAGTTGATCGTCCACCATTATAGAACTTGTCCGAGATATTACTGATATTAACCTATAGTATAAGTTTTATAAAAATCTGGCAAGAATTGTACCCTTGGACAGACTCAGACGGACGGAGACATGGACAGACGCCCGGTATTTCCATGCCCCCTGCACGTGTTATATCATTAATTGCCGATTGATTTTATCCCACTGCATTCATTTCCGGTTCTTATTGGATTAGTACAGCCCTGTACAAGACGTCATACTGACTGAATTGACAATTTTCTGTGTGAATTATACCAATTTACAAACATTACTTAAGAAATGACTGTAATATTTTTTCTGTCTATGAATAAATAACATCAAAAATGTGGTGCACACTGAATAACCCGCGTAGCGGGTTATTTTAAAGTGTGCACCACATTTTTTATGTTATTTCGAATAGACAGAAAAAATATTACAGTCATTTCTTATAATTTAATTCTTAATTCCATTTTAAACCGGAGTAAATCATGAAAAAATGTTGATGACGTCAAGGTCACATGACAAAATCATGTCTATGAGCTGATAAATAAAACAACGTCAGCCAATCGGAAGACGCGTTACATCCAAAATTAAATTATATGTCTATATAGGCATATTTTTCAGACTATATTGCTGATATTAACCTATAGTATAAGTTTTCGGACTATCGGATTATAGGACTGTCGGACTATAGGATTGTCGGATTATAAGACTGTCGGATTATAAGACTGTCGGACTACAGGACTGTCGGATTATAGGTCCGACTCCACTGTTCAGTAACATCATGAACATCTTTTAGTTCGGCTATGACACATTTTACGATGACAGCTGATTTGGAGCAGAGAAATGTTTGCATAAATGAATTTTTGGATTAAATCAACTCATACCGGCGAAATATTTTTCTTCTGTAAGTTATTCTTGATAAATCTTTGAACGATTGCATGGTCCTAATTTTTTTTCTTGTATATACACTTTTTCTTCCTTTTTTTCAAGAGAGTGCCCTTGTGGTTTCACTTAAAACCAAAAAAAACTATAATAAAAACGAATATAAAACGTTTCATTACGGAAATTGTTTTTTGTACTTTATTTATCCATTTTATATCGTATTTTAATTACAACTGTGAAAATATGACATCAGAACTCATACATATTCTTCTGGCTGTACTTTATATACTCTGGTAATATTAAGTTGATCCATGAAATTCATTTTTGTTACCATGAGCAAGGATTTGTATAGTAAGTCTTACTATAAAAATCCTTGCCACGATGAAAGTTCTATTTTTTAATCAGCAAAGAATGTTTTCTTGATTATGTAACCTAAATGGTCCACCACTTTCTTTCTTGTCCTATTTTAACAGATTTATATGTTTGATAAATGTGGAAGATGTAAACATTACCCTTAAAATAAGCGAATTTATTTTAGAAGCCAGACTACTCGACAATCTTTATAACTATATACCAGTGGCGGATCCAGGGGGGGAGGTCCGGTGGTTGGAACTTTTTTGACGATCAATGCTTTTGAATGGGGACATATGGTTGGAACCCCCTCTTTATCCTGGGTTGGAACCCCCCTTTTAAAAATGGCTGGATCCGCCCCTGATATGCTAAATTTAATTTTCTATTTTCAATGACTTCATATAATATATGTTTTGCATTTTTTTTACATAACTCCATACCCCATAATTATTTTTATAATGGTTAGTCAGATAAGTTTATAACCCCAAATGGCGCAAATCACATCTGACCTTTACTTGATTTAAAAACACGTATACATCACATACAAAAGAATGCACAGTCAGACATAAAAATGGTTTTAAGCGTTCAAGAAAACTCTTTGGTTTGATAATCAACCAAAAGATTATTAGATTTACTTTAAACGTGATAATTTAATCATCTGTTGTTTGGATTGCAAACGTCACTTTTCATCAAAGAAAGGACTTCAAATTGTTAGTTATATATATGATGGAACTGACAGAAACATCCAATTTCTATCTATGAAATTAAAAAAAAAAATAGGCTTAGCGTTGGTTTTGACATGATTTATAACATTTTTTTATAAAATTTCCCGTCAATGAATTGAGACATTACTCGGAAAATAAGTTCCCAACTTCCTCAGGCAAAGATGACTTCAAAGAAAGTTAGTTATTCTTAAAGGTCACTTTCGGGAATTGAGCGCCTAACGCATTTATGTATCTATACACGCCTAACTTTAAAATGTATGGGTTTGAGCGTTCAAGGTTAAATCCGCAATTATTTTCATTTATTAGCAGTGGGCATAGATACCACTGCTGTTGGATTTATAGTCACTAATTTATAAGTGATAAATAAATCAGTGTTTAGGTACTGACATTATCTATATAATTTTTTTTTCTAAAATTTCCCGTTAGTTTAATGAATGAAATACTAAATAATTTCCTTATTTTTATATTTTAGGTCCCTTTTGGTCATTTGAAATGCGTCCATGGCTTTCGCATGTTTGTGAATAATGCGGATTTAATTCAACAAGAGAGTGTGGAGGTCGATGTCAGTTACAACCTACCTAGTTTTTTTTTGTCTCCATTAATGTCTAAAAACCATTATGTATTACATTCCATTCATTTTTACCGCCGTCTCTGTATCTGTAACATTTTCTAAAACTATAGATATTAAGGCGAATGATATATAATTGAAAGTGTTGGACTCTAAACTTTTCTATTTTGTATATTTCTGAAGTCTGAGAGTATGGAAAAAGAAAAAAGGGAGAAATAAATTACATAGGATATTTTATTTAATGTAGGTTAGAAATACTACACCAAATGTGTTATTGTGTACGGAGAATTGTAAAGAGTTCCACTGTCAGCAAAAGTCAAATTTTGAAGAATTTCTTTTTTTTGTGTGTGTTAAATTGCACAATTTGATACATGATAGTTTTAAAAGAAGTGTTCTATATCCATTTTGTTTGTTTTTTCTACATTGGCTAGAGGTATAGGGGGAGGGTTGAGATCTCAAAAAACATGTTTAACCCCGCCGCATTTTTGCACCTGTCCCAAGTCAGGAGCCTCTGGCCTTTGTTAGTCTTGTATCATTTTTAATTTTAGTTTCTTGTGTATAATTTGGAGTTTAGTATGACGTCCATTATCACTGAACTAGTATACATATTTGTTTAGGGGCCAGCTGAAGGACGCCTCCGGGTGCGGGAGTTTCTCGCTGCATTGAAGACCCATTGGTGGCCTTCGGCTGTTGTCTGCTCTATGGTCGGGTTGTTGTCTCTTTGACACATTCCCCATTTCCATTCTCAATTTTATTCTATATCCATGCATGTATAATATATATGCATGTGCAGTTTAAACATATCTTAAAAAATCCTTTGTCATACTATTAATTATAATGCGTCTTATCAATAAAATCTTGAACGGAGACAGCTCGAGTATTTGATATGAATTAAATCCCGGAAACAACTGATATAATTAATATCAATTGGGATTCTCTTTGCTCTTTTACGTCGAAATCTAACCGCAAACGGCAAAAAGGTATGATTTCACAGTCAAAAAGCTTGCTTTCAGAAATATAAGGTTTTCAATGTAGGTTAGAAATACTACACCAAATGTGTTATTGTGTACGGAGAATTATAAAGAGTTCCACTGTCAGTAAAAGTCAAATTTTGAAGGATTTCTTTTTTTTTGTGTGTGTTAAATTGCACAATTTGATCAAGATAGTTTTAAAAGAAGTGTTCTATATCCATGCATGTATAATATATATGCATGTTCAGTTTAAACATATCTTAAAAATCCTTTTGTCATACTATTAATTATAATGCGTCTTATCAATAAAATCTTGAACGGAGACAGCTCGAGTATTTGATATGAATTAAATCCCGGAAACAACTGATATAATTAATATCAATTGGGATTCTCATTCGTCGAAATCTAACCACAAACGGCAAGAAGGTATGATTCCACAGTTAAAAATCTTGCTTTCAGAAATATAAGGTTTTCGATGTAGGTTAGAAATACTACACCAAATGTGTTATTGTGTACAGCGAATTATAAAGAGTTCCACTGTCAGTAAAAGTCAAATTTTGAAGGATTTCTTTTTTTGGGTGTGTTAAATTGCACAATTTGATACATGATAGTTTTAAAAGAAGTGTTCTATATTCATGCATGTATAATATATATGCATGTGCAGTTTAAACATATCTAAAAAATCCTTTTGTCATACTATTAATTATAATGCGTCTTTTATCAATAAAATCTTGAACGGGGACAGCTCGAGTAATTGATATGAATTAAAGCCCGGAAACAACTGATATAATTAATATCAATTGGGATTCCCTTTGCTCTTTTACGTCGAAATCTAACCACAAACGGCAAGAAGGTATGATTTCACAGTCAAAAAGCTTGCTTTCAGTAATTTAAGGTTTTCATTGATACACACGGTATCATCATGCAACGTATAGGTCCTTTTCTTCTCGCTATCGTTCAGCTGTTGATTTGGTCGTAAATGACACTTTGACTTTTCATTAGCTACCTTCTTAATTAATCTTACGGCCGAACGTTTTAACGTAGTCTTTCATTAGCAACTGTCTCGATGGTCTCATGGTAGCGTGCTATAGCTAACTTCGAGTGCGGGATGTTGTTGGTTCGATCTCCTGTCGGTCACACCAACGACTTTAAAAATTGGCATTTGCTTCTTCTCCGCTAAGAATGCGGCATTTAGGAGTTAGGGCACAGACTGGTCGGCTCGGGATCAGAAAAATGTGTGGGTAGGGTAACCTTGGGAGCTAGCATTTAAAAAAAAAATCTGACTCAGCTTGTCGGTCTCTACCATCATCTTACAATAGCAATTTATCAAGGGAGGACTGTTTATTAACTTGCAGAAATATATACAGATTTTCGGTCAGAATCACGGCAATAAAAAGAAAATACTTATCATTTTTAAAACTGATGGGTGCATTTGACCCAAATAAACATTGATAACATTTAACATTAAATTGTGTTCATGTAAAGGTAAATTTCATTTTAGAAAACAAAGCTGATGTATATAACGTTCATTTTAATAGATATGCATTGTATATGTAATAGTATATTCGGATATTAGGACATGTTTGCCTAATCTACAAAATCGCGACTGACTTGAAACTTAAAACCACAATATCTTTGGTTTTAGCAATGATTTTAATGATGACTGTCCAGTTCAGTCATCATTAAAATATTTGCTATATACCAATATTCCGTTTTCGTTTCCATTTTATACATCCTGCTTTGAGTATATTGGGACTCTCTAAACGTACCGGAATTTATATAAAGTCCGGAAAACTTCAAACACCAAATCCATTGCTTTTCGAAATACATATTTCTAGCGCTTCTAACGTTTTTAATATTTGTATTTTTTTTATAGCAGTTACAATGGAAACTTCGTTCACATCTTTACAATGAAGAATTACTTCATTACAATGTAATCAAAAAACCTTTGTGAATACCTAAATACGGTATGCTTTACAATTGAGCTATTGTATGGATATGTGTGAAAAGTTTCCTCAGCAAGAATAGAATTATAGTATGTACAAATAACGGTCTTCACAAATTTAAATTACAAAATGAACAATGATCGAAAAACAAATAGGCTATGTACCGTGACAACCTTGTGTATACTTCTTGTATATCAAGACCTATCATCAAGTCCATTGTCAATTTATTATAGATATCCGTCAATACCACAAACTGCCTTTATTGTGTTCATTTGATTTGGTGATAATTGAATATTTGTTGATGATCTTATGTTTAAACATTATCCCATAGTAACTTAAACCGGGTTTGCATATTAGGCTTTTTATCTTAAGCACATGTGTCAATCTTTGGAAAAAAATGTCATAATCTGTAAGAACTTATTGGATGAGAATTAGATATGTTGGAATACAAAATATAAAGACTGCATGATACAGACATGAGCATGTAGGTTCCAATAAATACAAGGACTTTATACTAACTTTGAACCTGTGATATATTGTTTCCTAGGTAACAGGTAAGTGTAGCTGAAAGATGTCCCTTACAAATTTTCATATCACATATTTTCATTAAACTCAAACATTGACTCTCTTTCTAACAAATGGAATTTTTCATTTATTTGTCTTTCTTTTTTATTGAGACTTTCAATAAGCTTTGGTGCATTATGAGTTGTGGCAAATTTAAAGCAAACGCGAATTGATTATGTCTTCATATATCTCGTTTCACTAGGGATTTATACTCCACATACAATTAATGAAGTATGGAGGAAAGACAGTCGTCATACTTCTCCACAGGACCCACACCTCGACCAGAACAGCATTCATCAATGCGACAGCCATCAGCTACAGATGTGCCATCAAGAATGGATCAAAGGTCGAGACTAGAAAACCAGGAAATCGGCCGTATGTCTAGAACCGGACAACCATCTGCAGTTCAAAGACTGCGTATAGAGGAAAAATTAACTGAAACTGTCATTGACAATGATGTAATAGAAACTAATAAATTACAGAAAACAACACCTCTGAAGAAAACCTCTACAAAACCAGATGAGAAAAAGACACAAGTCGACTTCAAATTGACAAAAGACGTTAAGAAAGAGGTAAATACGGTAAAATGGTTTAAAATAAATATCACTGTCACCTGTAGAGAGCACAAAATCTACTGACTGATTGGATAACCAGTTCCTATATTGATAACGTTAGCTAACACATTGGAAATCAGCAATCATAGTATACGTTAAACATATAATTGTATGCATACAAAAACTTACACATACGTACATGCAGATATTTATTTCATTTGTAGTTGCCCACAGTTAATAAACAATTAGAAATACTTGACATGAACTGCTTGAATTCTGTTTTCTGAGGATTGGCGAACAATGGATGAGATGTTTTGTGTAAATCTTTCGTTTTTGACTATAGATCAAATTAAAACATACCAGATTTAGACGGTTCCAAATGCTACTCTGATTTACCTTCAATCGGAAATCACCTAATATTACAAATCCGCCCGCCTGAAGGAGTTGTACCCCTAATGTATGTCAAAATTGCAAAATGAAACAGCTGAGGATTTATAAAATGTATTGATGCACGCATAACTCATGAAACATACCGAATCATGCAATAATATGTACTATCGATACTTAGTAATAACTCCAATTTTCTGAGGGAATATGGAAGTGCGAGAAGCAAACTTTGAATTTAAAGGCAGATTGCAACTAGGTGACCATTTTTGTTTTAAAAAGAATCATATAGTCCCAACTTTAGAAATTCCTTTTTATAGACTTTTTTCTATAGACCTTACTAAGATTAAACAGTTGAAGTTTAGAATAAAACAATTAACAATGTAAGGATGTTAATCTAGCATAAACTAACGTAATTTGTGGAAATCTTATATACGCAAATAAAATATAAATTTGTAGTAGTTTCAAAATGAAAGTGCTTATCTATCACAATAAAAAAAGATAAAAAAAACAATATTAATCATTAAGTTTTACATAATTTTAAAATATTGTTATGTTAATACTGCCTGGCTATTGCAGTCCCAAAAATAAGAGACCTGTTCATGTTTGCTTCTCTATCTGTCGCTCAACACAGCTATAATATCAACACTTTTTTAATGAATACAGGTTTTTTTCTAGGTTTTTGTTCAAGATATTAAAAAGAAACAACTAACGTATCCGATACCAAAACCTCCACCAACAAGAAAAGCTGAAATATTTAAAATGGACACTGCTTTAGAAATCGACAAAAGAGTCCAAAGCGTAAGATTGAAATATTACTTGTATTTTTTTATACTTTATTGAGAAAGAAGGTGACATAGTCAAATCATTGACGCTATGGGACTTGCTGTGGGCGTGAGAACTACGCCACTGAAAGTTGCAATAATGCCCATGGACGTTCGAGCATCTTTGACTAGAGGTAGCATAAGGCAATCTGACGAGTACAAATGTTAAAAGAGTCCTTGACGTTTCATTAAATTATTCTACAATATCTATTCGAGGATTTGTATACAAATCCCTGATCTACTGAAGCCTTCTGTAAATGTTCTTGTTGTGTCAATATCGTTAAATACCTGTAATTTAAATTCTATTGTTTTGTAATAGTTTTTGATACTCTATTCTTTCATGAATCAAAGAAGTTTTATCAATCAAACACCAGCAGTTCAGAATTTGATGAGAAATGTCTGAGTTAAAATTTAAAGCTATTTTTAAACGCTAATTTACAAATCAGAATGAAGTATCATACCATCAATTCCCACATTATTATCATGGAATAGTCAAACATGTATGCATAATAGTTCTACATAAAAAAAATGGATACTGATCGAGGAAGAACAGATAAAACAAGGACAAAAATGAGATAGCACACGTATTAGTAACTTAATACTTAGCAACACAAACTGGGTATAAATTCGGGTGTTCTGAAAGTGTAAGCACTTCCTTATCCGCAATGGACAGCCGTCGTTCCATTTTTTTCTGTTCAGTTAGACTAAAACTACTGATATTGATTTCACAAATATTTTTCGTATTATAAAAGGTTGACATTGAATCAGCACCTGCCTTGAAGACTTTAACTGTATCATTGACCGCAAGATATTACAGGGATGTTGAGAAGGTGCGAGCAATATTTGCCTGGATATGTCTTCAGAAGTTAGATCAACTTGATTATTCACGCTCAATAAACGACAAATCTCCACTTCATCATCTAAAAGAAGTTAAAGATAAAAGATCATCCTATCCTGAATTGTTTGCAATGATGTGCAAGTGAGTACAAGACTATCTACTAAAGGGAAATTACATACATAGTTAAAGTAATGTATTGCATACTCGTAAGCAAAATTGTTTTTGGGGATTTAAAGAACAGAGAGTAATCAAAAAAAATAAAGAATAGAGAACGATGAACAAAAAATATTAAAAATAGAGACAAATGGCTTAAAAATTAAAGTAAGGAAATGAAGACATCCAGACCCTCATGTACTAGTTATGTAAGATAAATTTAAAATCGAGTGTTGACGTTGTATTATCATCAATTGGACTAATCTACTCAATTCAAAGACTTGCTACTGGACGTTAAGCAGAAAATCATCAATCAATGTAAAGAAAATTTAAGAATTTTCTATGTTTGTTTAGATGTAAAACCCATAATTGTTAACATGGGTACATTTTAACATATTTCATTAAAATGACCATGAAAAACCAAAGTCATATTTTTCCACAGGCATGTTGATATCCCCTGTCATGTTGTACCAGGTGTTGCCAAACTAGAAGGACATGAAACAGACGAAACCGAAATCGACAAAAACAGAGTGACATGGAATGCAGTTTATTGTGCAGACGGGTGGAGAATTGTTTTCTTCAAAGGGGCATTCGATACTGTATCAACGAAGAAAAAAACAACAGAGCAGCAGCCAGTTCATATAGAAAACACGCCACTCTCGAGTAAAACAGGATCATTTAAAGAACCAGATGAAAACGGTACCTCATTTTCTTCCAATATGTGTTCAACAAATCTAATGCATTTTGCTTCATATCAAATATATATTCAATTTCTTCAATGGTTTTACCGTGGCCATGTGTCATTTTTTAAACTACATTTAAAAATCCTTCGGGCTTCATAATCCATGTCATATTATTGTTTGATGGTGTTTTCCGAGTTTACGTGCTTTCTTATGTTATTGGTTTCTTTTATATATGAAATAAACTTAACCGTTTCTAAAGAAGAGGGCATTGTTAATGTTTCTGTCAATGTTTTTTTTTTGTCAAATGGGCAGTTTATATATGACGATCTTCATAAGTTACTATTATGCAATTGTTTCATGCTAGATTTGATATATCAGTATATTAACATACTCACCGTGGTACCATTCAACGATTGAATACAGTAATTCAAAATCTGTATTTTCCAATCGAAACAAAAAACCAAAGAACGGTCCACTACAATAAATAAGTCAGCGTCTATAGAATATGTCAAGCTCCTAATTGCACCGAATGAGGATAAGAAAATATATGTCAAAAGACTATAAATGTCAGACGAGGTTCCTGCTTTTTCAAAGGCACATAACCATGTGCCATTATTTTACTACTTTTTTTTATATATTAACCGTAAGTTTTTTTAGCTCGATGTGTCGACTAACAAAACTACGTATTCAAACCGTACAAGAAAACACTTGACTCTATAAAAACGACATAATAGATAAACAAAAATCCAAAACGATAATAAACAGTACCCTATCAAAGAATGCTCGTAGTTATAGAAAGCAAGCCCAAAAACTTAATCTGTTAATATGTAATCATGTCGTTTTACACTCTGATGAGCTACATGCACATGTTAATACTCTTGTTCCTACTTTAAATGACTGTGTATCTCATTCAGGTGATTCGTCGATTCCAAAACTCCCTGCAATTTCAAACTCTTCAGTAACATCAAAATCCTCAAATACAATACATACAGGCAACCATAACCATTCTGTTTTGAAAAAGTTTGAAAAAGATTCCATTTTGAATGTGAATGAATATTATTTCTTGACTAACCCGGAGGAGTTTATATTTCGATGTTTTCCTGATGAAGACATGTGGCAACTACTTGGAAAACCACATTCAATAGAGAAGTTTTTGAAGCTTCCAGTTGTATCACAAGCTTTCTTCGAACATCATTTGAAAATTTCAAGTCGCTTAAATGGCATTAGAAAAGCTAAACACGGATCTTGCATAATATCAATCAAGCGGATGGACTCCAGACACATTTTTCTCGGTCATAAATTTGAATTGATTGCATCAGAAACACCCGATGCTGCTGTGGAATTAGATTTCAAGTTTTTGGTAGCAGTTGTTCAAGACGAAAGGAAGACACATTTTCATATGCGTTTCCCAGTTGAAGGAATGTATGATTTCAAAGTGTTTGGAGGAGCCAGTGAAAGTGATTCAGAATTCTTGTGTTCATTCAAGGTGAATTGTGAGGAACCAAAACTGAGATTCGAGGCACTGCCATTTGTTCCGGAAATAGGATTTGGCCCTTGTCGTGTGACAGAGCGTTTCGGTATGAAATTGGTTTCAAATGTTACAGGGTTAATAACAATACGTGGATCAGACACCGTTGATATCGATTTCAAGGTGTTTAAAGATATCAAGGTCATTGCGGAGATGATTCATCAGACAATTCCTTCTTCGGACCTTGAAGAATATATTTTACTTAAACAACACAATGACGATTTATTCATTACTGTTGGTGTTCCAAGAAACGGAGAGTATGTCCTAAAACTACTTGCAAAACATAGACGTTCGAGTAAAGGCTTTATAAATGTGTGCAATTTCCTTTTGATGTCGGAAGATCCTAAGAAACCACGAAAACCATTTGAAGTAAGATTTAAAACACTATATATGTAATCATGTATATATATGTTTCAGGCTGGAAGTGACTAAACTGAAACACTTGCTAAAGTTGGGACTTTGCTGCTTTATAAATTCAGAAATCATGAAAAAAAATATTTAAATTAAAAAATGAAAGACACAACCCAAAAAATCAGCGATTTTAGCTTTTTTTTTAACCCCTACCTGTTTGATGCTTTTATAGGTATTGACGTGTAAGTATGAATGAACATGCATTTTATTTCTTGTAATTATATTACAAATAAATCCCATATATTTGAAAATTCTCATGTAGTCTATGTATAGGTGTTGTAATAGAAGTGTGCATATGAATAAGGTTTCCAAATCCAAGTCTAAGTAAAGGTAATATTTTTATTATGCAATTTTAGAAGTAAGCGTTTTTCCAACTTAATTGAGACGAATCAATACAACTTGCAGTGCCAGGTGATGGAAGAATGCGTACACATATAATTGTACAACACACAAATGAAAATAAAAAATGAAAACAACACGTTATAAATTTCATTCGTCCGAAGATAACACATAAACACTTAACACATTATGACAAAAAGCAAATATTCATATGGAATTTCATTTTTATTTTCCTTGTTTTTATTGACCAACAAATATTTTCAGAGTGCAGGAGACTTGATGATTCGACAACAGTTGATGAATACACTTAAGACATCCAAGAATCCTGAGGATGTGCAAATGGCAATCGATAAGTTAAATAAGGAGGACTTACCAGACGATGGATGGCTTACTAAAGCATATGAAAGGCTGGAATATCTAAAATTAGCTAAGGGTGAATGTTTTAGACAAGTATGGTATCCGTTAATAAAAGACCATTTTTTTTTTAGTTAATTCAGCAGAAAATGTAACAGAAAAGGTCAATATTTCTCTCATCATTTCGTTTTTAATAAATCTGCTTTAACTTAGTATTCTCCTAAGAAAATCATCAACATGTTTAAATTCTTCATATAAGATGGTCTTAGCGAATTCTTTAAAAGTAACTAGGTGCTACTTTTTACTCAATAGGACGAAAGTAAATCTGAAAGAGAAAATCGTGTATTTTGACAAGAAGGCAGAAAGTTTTCTATTTATTTTCGTAGGAACATAACCGAACCATCAACGATATTGTAGGAATGAAGAGATATGGTGCATTAGTTCATACAACAAAACTCATAAATCCACAGGACATAATCAAAAACAAAGCCCTTGCACTGCTTTGACCTGAAAAAAAGTAAAATCACAAAAATACTGAACTCCGAGGAAAATTCAAAACGGAAAGTCCATAATCAAATGGCAAAATCAAATGATAAAACACATCAAACGAATGGACAACAACTGTCATATTCCTGACTTGGTGCAGGCATTTTCAAATGTAGAAAATGGTGGATTGAACCTGGTTTTATAGTGCTAAACCTCTCACTTGTACGACAGTCGCATCAATTTCCATTATATTGACAATGATGCGTGAACAAAATGTCACAAATAGGGGTACAAAAACAACACGGACCCCACCAAAAACTAGGGGTGATTTCATGTGCTCCGGAAGGGGAAGCAGATCCTGCTCCACATGTGGCTCCCTTCGTGTTGCTCATGTTGTTACAAAGCCGGTAAATGGTCTTATTCGGTAGGTCACATTCGTGAAAAGGGAAGGGGATTGTAGTTACGACAAAAGGAACATATCCGATATCATCTGTATAACGAATATTCCATAACGGTCAACCAACTCGTGATGGCGTCCGTAATATTTACGAAGTGATGATTACAACTTCATCATTTGGATCTCTTGGTTTAAAAATGAAAAGGTCACAATTGGGAAGCTGCAATCATCTCTTTTGTCGTAAAGTTGAATTTTCAACCGACCCTCATAGTCTATTTCTAGATCTAAGTCCTAATCAAATGGCAAAATCAAAAGCTCAAATACATCAAACGAATGGACAACAACTGTCATATTCCTGACTTGGTACAGGCATTTTCTTATGTAGAAAATGGTGGATTGAACCTGGTTTTATAGCGCTAAACCTCTCACTTGTATGACAGTCGCATCAAATTCCATTATATTTACAACGATGAGTGAACAAAACAGACACAATAGGTAACATTGTCAAAATATGGGTACAGCAGTCATCACTGTGTCACAATCTTAAAACAAACAAACATTTAACAAAGAAGCACAAAAAGCATCTTTCAAATATAACAACCACATTCATTGCTTACTTATATATGTATTATAAATCAACCCATAAAGGATTGAAATATTTAAAGTCATGTGACTGCATTCACATCTACTCTTAGTGTAGAGTCGTGTTTGACGCCAGAAAATGTAAACGTCACACTGGAAGAAATATAAAATAATTTTGTCGTACAAAGTATTTTCAAAATTATAATTTCACATGGGGAATGGTGGTTTACAGGGTTGAAAAATCAAAAGTTATTGTTAGAACTAATTTCAGAAAAAGACAGAGATTTAAAATATCCAGAAGTTCTTTAGCATTTTTAAGAATCCAAATATGGTTAATACCACTACGGGAGTTAAATAATTTAGTCGTTCAAAGTATTTTCAAAAATATAATAGAACAATAACATAATGGTATTATAATAGAACAATATGATGGGATCTTTAAAAGTACAGAGCCACGTCATATGTACCAAAGAAACACATAAAGTCACACGTACAAAACAAACCAGTAAAAATAAAAGATAATACAAACACATTGACGGGATGTATCAGTACCGAGCCACGTCAAAAGGATATCACAGAAAACAGACCAAACAGTAAAAGTAATATTAATAATAGAACAAAGACAAATAAAAGAACAGTATAACACGTTATTTAGATGATAAGCAACTGAATTGATTGTTTTTGTTGAATGTTGATAACGCTAATGCGGGGTTACATAACAAATTACACACCTTTACTGGCAAAATCATTATATCAAGTTATATAAATAAAAAAAAAATTGTTATACAAATATAACATGTTTTTTTTCATTTCGTGATAAAAGACTTTCTTTAACCTAAAAGGCCACGTGTATTCATAATTTTATGAACAAATGTTTTAATGTAAGATTCTAGCTTTATTACAAATCCATAAACATAGCAGTATGTTTGTTTACCTTACATTTTCAAACATTTGTCCCGACAGCTTTGAGAAATGGCATCAATCGTAAAAATGCTGATGTTCTGGAAAAGGCAATTCAAGATGCAAAACAGTCAAGTCTGGCAGAAAAGCTGAATAATTATATAAGAGAGGGTGAGCAGATGTTACAAGAGGCTGACAACAACTCCGTGTTTATACTGGAAATGAAACGAACAACAATATCTGAGGTCCATCGCTATAAGAAACCAAAACCTGTGATGTACGATGTAATGAAAGCAACGTACATCTTACTAGGAGAAAAGTCAGAATCACTGGCGGTACGTGTTATAAGCTATGCAAAAAATTTTTTTAATTTTAATAATATCCTCTACGCCGGTTAAGGGTTTTTTGTACCTGATTTTCCAGGTATCGTGGTGTTCTTCGTTTATGTAATGCCGGTAAACTTCGTATTGATTTTGCGTTTCAATTCTTTTGATTCCATAGCCCCTGATGAGTCTTACATAGACGAGACGATCGCCTGGCGTACCAAATTGTAAACCTGAAATCTATGATGAGTTTTTCTTATGCCCTACGTGTTGCTACCTCCACACTGGAACTGGTCAAAATAAAATGGCGAGTCCCAATTGAGATTATGATTAACGGAACAGATCAAATAAAGGCAACAGTAGTATACCGCTGCTCAAAAGTCATAAATCGATTGTGAGAAAACAAATCCGGGTTACAAACTAAAACCGAGGGAAACACATCAACTATAAGAGGAAAACAACGAAATAACAGAAGTGCATCAAAAAACAAACAACAATGCAACATTCATAGAAACGAACTATTAGATAACAACTGCCATATTCCTGACTTGGTACAGGACATTTTAAGAAAAATGGTGGATTTAACCTGGTTTTGTGGCTAGCAAAACCTCCGCGCTTTATGGCAATGTTAAATATACCGCTAAAATGACAACATTACATGACGGGAAGAGAGTACAAATAAATGCAAAACCACCAAAGACAGAGAAATACATAAATAAATAATATAATAGTACATTTCGACATGTTAACCACAGAATAACAACGAATAACTAAAATAATTTAGGACAGTACACAAAAACAGCTTAATAGAATTACGAAGTGTGTGTCTGTAACACGAATGAATCAACGCCACAATAATTAACGTCACAGGTGAATTTCTAAAAAATGGATATAAATCAAGATTAGGTTTCTAATTATGTTATTTAATGTATTTTATAACAATTACAAGAATATTAATATAGAATTGTGTTAATAATAGTGCAACTAACTATGTCGGCCTTTCTTCCAAATCAAACTGTGTAAAACAAATTAATCCTGTGCACATAGTTGCTTTAAACTAAAATCATACAAACGAACTGGGTGATTAATTAACTCTATTTTTACATACGAATAGAAAATAAAAGATAGAATCACAACTACAAACGATAAGACACAAAACAATATCTAATCAGAATTACAAATAAAACTTCGTAACTAAATATATGAACGCTGGATAAACAAATACCGAGACACGTCTTATAGCATTGTGAATTAACACTCAGTAAAACAGTCATATTCGGGAATAGGTCACATTCGGTACTCAAAAGACCAGACGACGTAAATGGTAAACCATATTCTAAGACTTGGAAAACATGTCCTTAGTTAGTTTAGACACAGACACATCGTATGGATCAACCAATTCTTGATGGTGTCCATAAAATTTACGGAGTGTCATTTTTAATCTTTCCTCCTCATTACTTTGTTGGAGCAGTTTCTGCGTAAGGAGCACACTCCTGTATATGAAGTCCGTACAGTATGAACATGCACGAGCATAACGTATCAACTGAGATATGTAAACACCATACGAGGGGGCAGAGGGTATGTTACTGCTGGAAAATGGGAAATTGATAATTGGGAAGTTGAAATCGTCCCGTTTGTCATAGATTTTAGTGTCAATATTGAGGAAGAGATCAAGGTATGAAGCAGTCCTTCTAGTATCAGTAGTTACCTTAATTTCAAGTTCACTGGGATATATGAGATGTAAAAAAAAAGAATTACAATCATAATGAATTCCGTGGACTAGTGGTGTCAGTTTTGATGTCAAATGGTCTTTAGTTTAGATCTAATGAGAAAGGAACTCTCCGTTATTTGTTATTTATCATTTCTCAAAGCTTACTTTTATGAATGTGATCATCAGGAAATCCCCATTATTACTAGGACAGAAATTTTATTGTACAAATGAAATTGAAGGATTTTTTTCAACCTACTTTTGCTGTTTATGAAGCCTTGATTGTCGAGCAGATAACACAAATGTTCCCCAAATTCAAAATTTATGTTGGCAATAGAAATGCCTCCAGATAAAAAAATAATACCAGAGATACCAGGCTTATAAAGTGTTTGTTTCGTTTTCCCGATTTTGATATTTTATTGAGTGTGAATTCGCATGGCGGGTGATGTATGCATAGCAGTAGACGGTTACCCTGTCAATGCACCCGGTATCGCTCCTGTTTGTTACCTCGTTTGTCTGTTCCTAATAGATTCACGAGATTTGAAATTGGTAAATTACTGTCGCAATAATTTTTTGCCGAATCATAGTGTCTTTGTACAATCTAAAATAATTCTCTGTCTAAAAACAAACCATTGAATATCATTCTTGTTTTTTTGTTGTAGAACACCTGTATTTATTTTATGTACATTTATATATAAATTAAACTCCGTTTGGTGAACCAACGCCTGTGTGAATCATTTCGACAGAGTCCCTGAAGTGGATACCTTGGTATGCAGGGTTGTCAAATTATGCAAATAAATGCAACATTTAAATTATACTCAAAATTGACAACAACACTTCAAATGGTCTGCAATTTTATTTGCTATGGTTTGCAGGACAGGTCCTGATGACGCCTGCCTTGCAGGCGAAACATGTAAACCATCGTTAATAAAATTGCAGACCATTTGAAGTGTTGTTGTCAATTTTGAGTATAATTTATATATAAAATATAAACGCTAAAGAGCTGAGAAACATGCAAGGTCCTATAACATAGAGTGGCAAAATTATGTAACTTGTTTTTACATTTGATTGGAACAAATAGTTATGCATAGTACATAAGTGCAGTAGAGTTTAATCTAGTAACCCGCTAATTGTGAGACTTTCTGAATACAAGTTATATATATATACATAATAATTTTATTTGAAGACATGGGATGAGATTGTTTACCTAATGAGAATGACAAGTAGAAATAGTCTTTTATATAAAGTCAAACAATTTGACAAAAATTATATTGACCCTATCACTGCTCAAGAAGTGGACAGACTTCTTAAAACGCACACTCTAGAGGAGGCAAAGGCAGCTAGCGCCGGTGTGGGAACATTCTACATGTGGGTATGTATAAAAATGGATTCAAACTTCATATGATAAAACATTCTTGATAGGAAAGAAAACAAAGGCGCAACATATTGTAGAATGTCTTTCATATAAGAAAAGACCACCTTCGCTGTTGGAAAAGATTTGAGGGTTTTGTGCTGGATTAAAACAAAAATCCATGGCATTGTCAGAAAGCAGTGGACTTTAATTTGAGCGGTCCTTTGAATTTTCAAAGGATCATGTTTCCGAAATGCTTCTTTTCCAGTAATATTTGCGTTTTTGGAGTTTCATTAAACCAGTGCGGCCAACAATGATGCCGTTCAAAGAATGTTTCACTTTTTTCCTAATCTAATGGATCTAATGATTATTTTGATTTAATATAAATTGCATTAATGCTAGTCCAAAAAAAAATCTTCTTTTTCGTGTCGTTTATGGAAAATTACTTTAATATTACTTTAAGATAACTACGATTTCTTGAATTGTGTCACATTTATTATTATTTTCATCATTTTTATCATCTTTTGAAATTAATAACATAAAATCCTTTCTATTGTTATTTGTTTATATCTGGAAAAAACTAGAAATGCAAAGTTGTCACTATAAGGTCATAAGCGAGGTTTTATCGGAACTCTTATTCAGTCCGTAGACTATTAATAAAATTAACCAACAGAATTACATAACCAAACCTAGTTATATTTTGGTGATTTTACTAATTATTGTATATATTTGCATATAAAACATGTCAAGTTTTGTTTGAATTTGAAATAAAAGAATAGCTTTCAAGATTTTATTCAAAAAATATTAATTAGTTTGATTTCTTGAAATATGATAAACATTTTTAAATTGCTATTTCAAAAACCAGTACAGTAACAAGTCAAACCCCCATTCTAACTCTGAGGAATATTTCGCCACCTCTGTTCAGTGCATATAAAGTATTGCTACTATAAAACATAGGTGAACATAGAAAAGAAAATCTTCCAATTTCAATAAACTGCAGAGATTGGACATTTCCGTGAACGATAATATATGCTGCCTATTTTTTTTTTTTTTTTTTTTTTTTTGAGAATTGTAGGCAAGATGTATTGTTAAAAGTAAAATAAAATAAAGAAATTACTTCGACCCCGAACATAACTGAAGCGACATATAATATTGAGATACATATCTGGTGTAGTATAATTGGTACCGTAATGTTATACAATGGAATACCATTCGTACAAAATAAAAAAAAATTGAGAATGGAAATGGGGAATGTGTCAAAGAGACAACAACCCGACCATAGAGCAGACAACAGCCGAAGGCCACCAATGGGTCTTCAATGCAGCGAGAAACTCCCGCACCCGGAGGCGTCCTTCAGCTGGCCCCTAAACAAATATGTAAACTAGTTCAGTGATAATGGACGTCATACTAAACTCCAAATTATACACAAGAAACTAAAATGAAAAATGATACAAGACTAACAAAGGCCAAAGGCTCCTGACTTGGGACAGGCGCAAAAATGCGGCGGGGTTAAACATGTTTTTGAGATCTATTTATGTTGTCCTACTGTGTAAAAATAGGATTTTATTTTAAAATGTAGTTCCCTTGAAGGTTATCTTATAATCTAATAACAAATGCAAACAATACTTTATAAATTACATGCGTCCAAATCGCTTTTCTAGATTTACTATAATGATTTACTTTAGAATATAGCAAAGTGCTCTCGATCAATGAAATTGTAGGATTTGATGTCTCTTAATTGTGAAGAATGAATGTAATTCATGTTCTTAGTAAGGGATTATCCTATTGTTTAGGCCTATTTACAGTTCAAAACAAAAGAGTTTCTATAAATGAGTTACAACTGCCCCGGAGCACATTTATCAGAATGAAAGGATTTATCACCAGTGATTGAAACTGACTAAAAGTTCAATTGTGAAACAAACAAAAGAAATCAAAATAAGATGAAATTTACTGGTGCAGTAAAATTGGTACCTTTAATGTTATTATGAAATTATAATAACTTCAAATTACTAAAAAAATCAAACAATATTAAAACAATGCATTAAAAGGGAAAAAAACACAGTTTTAAAATAAAAAATAACCTAAATCTTAAGATTTCCAAAACTCTGATTAATGGACCAGCGGTTGTGAAGAATAGTTATTTCCAATATTCCGATAAAATAAAAAAAAAAACAGGAATTTAATTTAAGTTTTGAATATATTTAAACTTTTAAAGGCATTTATTTCGACATTCCCCTGACATAATGAAATAGTATTCGATTTTTAAATCCGGACCAAAATATTGGCTGTGAAATTAGTTGTAACTCAAATGTATTGATTTCAACTGTAAATTAAAAAAGGATAATTCCTCACTAAAATATTACATAATTTACATAATTAGCGCTATAAAACCAGGTTCAATCCACCATTTTCTACATTTGAAAATGCCTGTACCAAGTCAGGAATATGACAGTTGTTGTCCATTCGTTTGATGTGTTTTGTCATTTGATTTTGCCATGTGATTAGGGACTTTCCGATTGAATTTTCCTCGGAGTTCAGTATTTTTGTGATTTTACTTTTTACATTCATACTAACAATCAGGAAACATATAGTTACAATTCCTACCTTTTCTTTGTACTGTTGTGTCCCCTAATGTCTATAACGCTTTTTTTTTAAATATTTCCCAAATTATAAGAAAGTCCTTACATTACTAAAACTAATCCATAAATGAAATGCCGAAAAAAGGAAGTCATGCATCAATTAGAAACATTGCACTGACAATGAAGCTAATTCTTGAATAGTCAGCCAATCAAGAGATTATTTGATCCTTGAGCATTTTACAATATTCTAAGTTTGTAAGAGAATGATAATTCCTTACTTCATGATAAATACTCGCTAACGCTCGTACTTAATCATGAAGAAAGGGATTATCATTCTCTTACATAAACATGTTAACTACATTTGTATTGTACATACCTTAATCTGATTAGAGATGAATAGAAAAAAGCTGTAATTAAAAAGACGATAATCCTTTTTTCAGGCTAATGAAATGATAAAGCCTTTGACGAAAGTAAAAAAATCCACTCAACCAAAAAAAGAGAAAACAACAAATGGACATATAGAGGAGGGCAATATACAGACTAAGGAGGAAATCTCGAAATTGGGAGATTAAGAGATTGTATTATATCATAAATTATCAACTGGGGTGTCGGAACAATATTGTCAATGAATGCAGTTTATTGATATTATATAGTCTTGGTTATTGTAAAACAGGCCTATAAAGAAAATTGGTCAAAGTTTTTGAACAAAGTTTTGATAGTGACAACCATGAAAGAAAACTTTGGTCTAAAACTTTGACGGACTTTAATGAAATAGAATTTCTTCCTATTTTCTTGAAACTTGGACGACAGAAATTAGCCACTCAAAATGCATCTTAGCAATGAGGCAATTTTTGTTGGCAAACCAAAAGCATATGGCAAAATTGACGAAAAAAGTAGGAGAGTAAAAGAAACATTCTAGAAAAGAAACGATAGATGAATTTATTTCGATCAGTGGTTCAAATTTACTGAGCAGCAGATTGAATGATGATTTGTCCATTTCAAAATAATTCCTGAATTCGTGTCGGTCCTCACTTTGAAGAAGAGTATTGAAGGTAGTTTTTCTGTCTCAGTCTATTCTGCAACTAGTTTCTTTTTCCCTTCTATTCACTCTTTTGCGATATCTAATTCGCCTTCTCCAAATGGTAGTACACAGAATATACAGTGAAAGCGCAATGCAGTCATTCTGTGAGAAGTATATAATGGCCATTGTTTCTCTTTGTAAACATTGAACTCTCATCTTTTCTTTGACCAAGTTTTTGATGAAAAACTTTGATAGTGACACCAATCATAGATAGATAGATATAAAGGAAGACAAAATATAATTAAGAGGAAGGCTGAAAATAAAATGTCTGTTTTTGATATGCATTATTTTATATAATCTATAAATACGTATATTGCTGGTAATATGAATAAAATGTACAATAAAACTGTCTGCGTTGCTTTTGACTGAGTATAGATCTGAACTTAAGCTAAACACTAACCTCTAAAAGATCCTATCAATGTACTGCACGACTTTCAAAGCCTTGAAGTTTTAATCATTTGCAGATCTCGCCGTTAGTTCCCAGATAGATGGAAACAAACTTATGTGTCTCAATATAGCATTGATGAAGAATTTTACACTCTATAATTGCATTTTATATTTCTTTTATATACGTTCGTATTGTCCAATGTTTAGTGTTACGTTATCCTATTTATACCTATGTATTAATGGCTTGCATACTACTTAGAATTATCAAATCTTTCTTCAATTTACTCACCGATTACAATTAAGTTTGAGTTGTTTCTCTTTTTGCTTTATAGATCTGCTTAATATTGATTTTATAATTTTCTTTTTCATTATTTTCATCATTTCTTTTGGTTCCCTCTGATCATGATAAATTCTTTAAGATTGAATGTACACATAAACGTTGACCACGCAGACGCCCAGTTTATTTCTTCTCTTTTCTCTCATTTTTTTCAAATTAATAAAACGATTCTTGTCCAAGGCTATACGGTGATCTCAAGATATATACTTATTGAGATGTGCTGAATCACTTTGAGACACATTTTAATCGATTGTATTTCATATTCTATTGCTTCTTATTTTTCGCATCAGTGAAACACAAAATTCGGCAAATATGAAAGGAAAATATATAATTTGACTGATAATATATTCAAAATAGGTATAGAAGTTTCAATTTTTCTAATGCTTTTAAACAATTATTCAGTACCAGAAAAAAAAATTAATTACAAACGTCTAGTCATTACAAGAATGTTTTATCATAAATAGCACACCATAAGAACATATATGCAATTATTCTTACTGTAACTTGGAAATACTACAGACTAAAATGCATTAGATATCTTTATGGTATACTATTTTTGTGAGATTTTCTTTCTTGAGTATAAGTATAAAAAGAGAGGCGAATGTTACCAAAGCGACATTCAAACTCATAAGTCGAAAATAAAGTGACAACGACATGGCTAAAAAAGAAAAAGACAAACAGACAAACAACAGTACACAAAATAACATAGAAAACCAAAGACTAAGCAACACGAACCCCACCAAAAACTGGGGATGATCTCAGATATAACCCTTTTTCCCTATTGGTATCACAATAGTTGTCCTCGAAACAACAATAACATGGATTGTACGATGGCGGGAAAGGTTTTGGGATCTTTATTTGGGTGAGGGGTTGTCCGTCTGTAATTGTAAAAGAGAGGCGAAAAAGTAAAATACCCAAAATACCAAACTCCAAGGAAAATTCAAACCCTTTATCAAATGGCAAAATCAAAAGCTCAAACATTTCAAACGAATGGAAAACAACTGTCATATTCCTAACTTGGTACACGCATTTCCTTATGTAGAAAATGGTTAATTGAAACGGGTTTTATAGCTAGCTGAACCTCTCACGTGTATGATAAACAACCAAAAAGGACAAAAAAGTAAATCCAAAAGCGGGCATCAGAGCTTTGCATGAGGGAGATACATTCCTTAATTTTAAATAATTTTCAAAATTTTGTAACAGGAAATTAACTATGAGAGCAAAACAAATAGACATAATAGGTAAATTGTCAAAATTGGGGTACAGTCAATTGTGTTATAATCTTAATCACTATAAAAACAAATAACTATTTCAACAAAGAAAAACAAAATGGCGTATATACACACTATAAACAAAGTACATAAGCAGAAATGAAATACAAGAATATAAAAAATGCACGCAATAACACAATGGCGGGATGTATAAATACCGCCATCCCAAAAGTATATTTCCAAAAATGGACTAAACAGTAAATGTTACAAATATACAAAGACAAATAAAAAGAACACTATAACACTAAATTAAGATGATAAACAACGTCAGTAACTAGAATCTACACTACAAGACCATCGTGTATTATTTGTGAAGTAGATACAGAATACTTATCAACAAGGTCTTGGTATCTTCCGATGAACTTTTTTTTAGAAAAAGGACGAGACGTTTTTTGACATAACCCTGGTTATTAACTTTCTGCTCATACACTGGTGACGTTTTATAAAGTCTGAGTAGCAGTTGCAAGCTCTTGGATACCGAATGAGTTGGGAAATGTATATCCCATATGCAGGTGAAGTTGGTATATGGCTTCTAAGGTTGGAGAAATCTATAACTTCAAAATTAAAATCGTCTCGTTAGTCATAGATTGTGTGTAGTACTGAGATGACCGCTTATGTCAAATTCGAGGTATAAGTCTAAAAATGAGGCGCAGGAAGGCGTGTCTGTTGATTCTTTAATTTGTAGTTCTTGAGGATATATTAATGGAACCCAATCAGAAAAGTTTGAATTGTTTATGGAAAGAACGTCATCAATATATCTGAATGTGAAATTAAATTATCTGGCTTCTTTAATCTTCTTGTTTTTGACAAGTGTCTGAAGGAACTCCGACTCATATGAAAATAAGAAGAGGTCGAAAGATACCAAAGTCACATTTGAACTCAAAAGTTGAAAATAAATTGACAACGCAATGGCTAAAAAAGAAATGGACCAACAGACAAACAACAGTACACAAAACACAACACAGAAAACCAAAGACTGAGCAATACGAACCCCATCATAAACTTGGGGTGATCTCAGGTGCTCCGGAAGGGTTAGCAGATCCTGTTCCAAATGTGGCACCCTTCGTGTTGCTCATGTTAGTACAAACCCGGTGATAAGTCTAATTCGTTAGGTCACATTCGGGGAAAAGGGAACATATCAGTTGTCATCTGTGAAACGGATATTCCGTAACGGTCAACCTACTCGTGATGGTGTCCATGAAATTTCCGAAGGGATGATTTCAGCTTCACCACTTGAAACTCTTGGTTTAATAGCTTCCTTGTGAGCAGCAACCCTCTATCAATGAAATCATGATATTAAATACAATACAAACCCTGGAATATCGTATTAACTGGGAGGTATATACTCCGAATGAAGGCAATGCTGGGATGTTGCTACATAGAAATAGAAAGTTCACAATTGGGAAGCTGAAATCATCTCTTTTGTCGTAAAGTTTTGTTTTTAACCGACCCTCATTGTCAATTTATAGATGTAAGTCGTCAAGATGTGAGGCAGACCTAACAGTCTCTGTTGTATCCTTTATCTCAAGTTTGATTTGATATATGCGTTCATCATAGTCACCAAATTTTGAATTATTTAGTGAGTTTTCAAATGATCGAAATCATACAGTACCTTATTGTATCTATATGGAAGAATATATTTAGCTCTCCAGATCGTTGATTTCTGTAAAGTTTAAATTTCAAAATTTTTTAGGTTTCAGTGTTGTGTAATGTTATTTGGTTCACCTATCACGTTTTTAATGTGGTATATTGTCTTTTCGTTGTTTTTTCTTCTTTTTTTTTGTTTATTTTGTTTTTTGTTTTTTGTTTTTTGTTTTTTTTTTTGTTTTTTTTTTTTTGCGATTTCTTGATCTTGTATTGTTCTCTAAATTTTACATTTCTGGTGTAAAATATGCTCTTAAAGTCTAAATTGACATATTGAAACTTCAATCAAATATTTAGGTTGCCATAAATCCTGAAGCAGCTGCGTCAGATGAAAGTCAACATGACACATTTACAAAGCATATTCACATCAGAATATAAAAAGAGTATATATAACGCATTAAGAGGAAAATTAACTAAAATATGGGGGGAGGGCGAAGCACACTGTGTAACGAATTTATCTTACCGACTATCTTAACATGTGGTATTTAGACTAGTGGCCTATCAAAGTGATCAATTCTTCAATATTATGAACCTACTTCCATTGGTCTATACAAAAACAAAAATAAATGCCAACAATAAATACTTGTTAGCTTTTTATGTGTTTTCTGCATCTATTCCAATCGTTCATCATCAATTTCTTCGTCTGTTGAAACCTTTCAGATTTTTCCGTGTTGTTTTTACAAAGGGACGTAACACCACTACTAACCGTGTATTGAAATAAACCACGCCCACTAACCCCATATGAAATATACACGGTCTCCACACGGTTGCTATTAACCAGTCATATTCCTAGAAATGTATAGGAGGTAAGATAATGGGCTATACGAATAATGAAAATAATACTTGATTGAATATCATGCGTCTGTTATACCTTCATCTGGAACGCTCAAGTCTAAATATCTGAAAGCCGATGGTATACTAGACCAAATCATATAAAGAGCTAAGTGACAAAATGGGACCTTAAAAAAATTCATCTGAAAGAGAGGCGAAAGATACTAAAAGAATATTCAAACTCCTAAGTCGAAAACTAATTGACGATGCCATTGCAGAAGATGAAAAACCACCAAAAGACAAACATTATACAAAACACAACATATAAAAATAAAGACGGATCAACAGGACCCCACCAAAAACTGATTCACATGTGGCTTATATAAAACAGAAAATAGAAAAGAATTCTGTTGCTTTTCACCAATGGTAAATGGCGTCCCGCTAAATGGTCATCCTTAGATGATCCGACCAATATACATGTATTAGAGAACTTTTGAAGCTTGAAACTTTCAATTATTTGTAGATCTCACTGTAAATTTTAAGATGGATTGAGACGCACCTGATGTGTCCCACTGTCACATCGCAGTTAATGAATATTACAAACGACTAGCTGTATTCCCTGGTAGATTAACTTTTCCCTATTATGAGCAAGATACACATAGAATTCCTCATTGGCAGATTTAAGTCTTGGTGTTTATAAGTGGGAAGTTACATGCATTGTCCTTTAAAATGAAAACAAAACGATAAGATCTCATGAATAAAACAAAAAGACAAGCATGTTCTCTTCATTGACCAGTCTTTTCTTATACACCTTTCAAGAGAACATAGTATACAACATTAAGTCATGACACAACAATCCTTACTCACACTTACCGGTGCATAGGAACAACGACAGTGCTTTAATGTCTTCGTTTTAATCTTCGTTTGCTTGCCATT